CTATTGCGAGTTCATCTTCTTATGCTTTCTGTTCCACCAGGATTGACTTGATTGATCAATGTACTTAATTGTGCAAACTCTGTAATGCATGTGTGTGTGTGTGTGTGTGTGTGTGTGTGTGTGTTAAGTTGCTTCAGTTGCGTCTGACTCTTTGTTTTAAATGCCTTGAGATCTATTGAGAGTTCATCTTCTTATGCTTTCTGTTCCACCAGGATTGATTTGATTGATCAATGTGCTTAATTGTGCAAACTCTGTAATGCATGTGTGTGTGTGTGTGTGTGTGTTAAGTTGCTTCAGTTGCGTCTGACTCTTTGTGACCCCATGGACTGCAGTCCTCCAGGCTCCTCTATCCATGGGATTCTCCAGGCAAGAATACTGGAGTGGATTGCCATTTCCTTTTCCAGGGGATCTTCCTGACCCAGGGATCGAACTTGAGTCTTTTACATCTCCTGCATTGGCAGGCAGGTTCTTTACCTCTAGCGCCACTTGTAGATCTCATCAAAATATTAATTACTACCATTTTACAGTAGAAGACTGAGGGGCCTCCTTCTGTTGTTTAATTCTCAGATGCTTCCTCAGACACCGCTCCAATCCCAAACATGGTCTAACGTGATGTAGCCCATGTAATAAGCAAATCTCAGGAGGCAGCATGTGAGGAAAGACAGGAGCGTCATTCTCCCAGGTGTGTCCTGATGAAATCATGATCATAATGTGAGACCCATGAAAAGAGAGAGAAAGTATCTATGATGTGTACTGCGTTCCCTGTCCCTGCAGGGCCCCCTTCATTCCTGCCAGCAACCCTTGAGATGAGTTCTGTTGTTATTGCCATTACTCAGATGAGGAAGCTGAGGTGTATTCCACTCCCTGGGGCAACATCTAAATGAGGCGATGTGGCCTTGACCATCAGACCAATCAGTTCAGCAGGGGAAAACGCAGTGAAATCTCTGCAAAGTCCATCAGCCCATTTATGCCTCCACAAGAGTGACCGGCTGAGAAGGGCAGTTCAGTTCCACCCTGAAGAGGCCACGTGCCGACTCCAGCAGACCTGGGTCAGAGCCTGGTTCCACCTTTCAGGGGCTGTGGGGCCCTGCGGGGCCTCAGCTCCCAGCTGTAAAATGTGGGTGATAATAATGACTGCAGAGTGTTGTAAGGATGGTAGGAAGTAATATACACTAGGTCCTGCGTGCAGTGAGTGGCCAACACATGGTTGTTATTTATTTATTCCTTCATGGGCTGTAAAATAATGGGGTTTCTATAATTTTAAGAAGGAAGCACTCTGACTCTGCCTACTCACCAGGCAGGCATGCGTTTTCCTACTTCTGTTTGCCAAAACTACCCTAAAAATGCACCAGCATTAATATCCTATACTGTTTCTATAGTTCTAAGTATCTGACATAGTTGACTGTTAGTGATGGATGAAATGTGGATTTGTTGGAAGTTGAACTAAGCCCTTTAAATTGTCATTTTGGTTTGATTTGGGGGCTGTTACATAGAACACTGGGGCTACAGACATCACAAAAATGAAGAATACACAGTCAGGGCATTTTTACAGTTTCAGTGTCTAGAAACATTCTCTTTTGTTTATTTAATTAGAATTCACCCTTGGCCTTTTTCCACAGCTTTCCTTACAAAATGGGCCTTTGTTTACAAAGATGTTGAGAAAGCATGACCAATTTGATAGTTCACATAGTGACCGAAGAATCCCTTGTTAATTTTTTTTAATCAATTCATTTAAAGTGGTTTTAGCAATAAGAAGAGGTACTAGGGAGATAGGAAAGGAATCAAAGATCCCTGTTTTTGTTTAGTTGAGAGGGACAGGAAGCATAAATATATGGGACTTCCCTGGTGATCTAGTGATTAAAATACTGCACATCCAATGCCACGAGTGCAGGTTCAATCAGTGGTTGGGGAGCTAAAATCCTGCATGTTGTGAGGTGAGGCTAACAACACCCCCACAAAAAAGAAATACAAATATATGGAGGCAACTGGAAAATAATTTTTTTCCATTCATAAATATTTATTTAGTTTTCCCTTAATTTCTCTCAATAGTGTTTTATAAAGTTATGCATAAGAATTTTACACATTTTTAATTAGGTTTATTCCTAGATATTTTACTTTGTGGACTTTATTCTATAGTAAAATAATGGTATTTTTTTTTTTACAACATTATTTTCTACCTACCTCCAGCCTAGCAACCTTATTAAGGTAACATTATTTTAAAATATTTATTTATAAATCCAGTTGAATTTTTTTGTGTGTATAATAATTCCATCTGAGAAATAATAAAATAATTTTTCCTCCATTGTAATCCTTCCACATATTTTTTTCATATCTTACTGCATGATTTAGAAACTGTTAAATAATTAAGGAATAAAGAGTGTGTTGTGGGTTGGTCCACAATGCCTCCAGAATAAAGAAGGGGAACAGAATGATATAACCAGCTCTGAGAGTCTTTAAGACAAATGTAAAAAAAAACAGACCAAGATTGCCAAAGAATAATAATGGTAATAGTTACTGCTGCAAATTGTAGGGCTCTATCTACACGCCAGGAACTGTGCTGTGCATTTTACATAGGATTAGCACCCTAAGAGCTCATTTATCTTATTATCCCTATTTCATAGATGAGCATGCCAAGACTGACAGAGATTAAGGAATTGTCCTCGATTGCACAACTCATAAGATGTAAAGTCAGGGTTTGAACCTGGGTCTGTCTGACACAGTCACATGTGGAGAAAAAAACAAAAGGGCAGCTGGGGAGAAGATCATCACTCTTTTCAGTGGCAGAAAGGTCAGAAGGTGAAAAAAGAAACTGACTCTAGAACAGAGAGGCCACCAGAGTGCAGTAAGAAGAGGGGGTGGCAGGAGGTGCCTGCCAGCAATGGCTTTGACCTTTAACCTGAGGAGTGTAGCCCCAGCCTAGCAGGTAACAGAAACCTTCTCGAGCAGAGTAACAGGGTGCAAGTCAGTGAGAGCAGAAGTAAACCTGCCGCCGTGGGGGAAGAGACTAGAAGGCAGGGAAGCTTGCTTTTATCTCTTCGTGTGTTTTTTAATCAGAGTACAATTGCTTCCCAGTGTTGTGTTAGTTTCTGCCACGCAGCGTGAATCAGCCATAGGAACACACATGTCCCCTCCCTCGCGGAGAAGCCCGTCTTAAAGGGCTCCAGGAAGAGGTCCATGGGCATTGGGTGACAATGGCTCCGTCCAAAAGATAGAGTGTCAAAGACATTGGCTCCTCACTCTCGGTATTCTGATAGCCATGTGCAGCCTCAGCTCACCCAAAGCTGAGAGGTCAATATTAGATTTCCATTGCCACAGTCAGAGCTCTGAAAATAAAATCCTTTGACGGAGGGTTTCATCTCCGGGTTGACACTGGCAGGAAAGATCCTTTCCATGACGTGGCAAAGAAACAAAGCGTTTCTGCTGTGCCATCTATGGGACACTTGTGCTTTCACCATATCACCAAACCATATCACATCCTGCCACGCTATCTTCTGCCTGTCTGTACGGTGATACGTCTTTTCTCCTTTCGTTATATTTCCCCAATAGTAAATTGTAACATACTTGCTTATGATCATTCGGATGAAAATGCAGTAATTGTGCATTTTAAGCAGTAAGTTGGAATTTATAACCCGGCACAAAACATTAGCGATGAAAAAAGACGTTGCTGTCTCCTGGCAGCCCTGCATTCCTCCTCTCTTCATTTGCTGCTCTTGCAGTGCAGGCTGCTTCTTCTTCTGTCTCCTCCCAGCCTGCCTAGACTAAAACGGGGCACCTGGCTTGCATGGTGATGATTCTCAGACCAAACTGCTTGTTGTGAAGTCCTCTTAGCTTGGAAAGAGCCACTTATGGGGGGAAAATGTGGAAAATCATAGATCTGGACAAAGCTAAAACTCCTGGGATCCCACAGTCTTCTACTACAAAAACTTTTTCTTTGATGTTTATTTATCAAACAAAAAGTAATGTTTTAAAGAGATCACCTTCATTAACTCTCTCTTCCTGCCCTAAAGTAGGAGCAGCTGATTCAGATACCCGTCACTAATTCCCTGTTCTGGGCGTCCATGGGGATTCAGCGGGGAAAATCCTATGCCCATTGTTCATAGGATATGCCTATACATATTCTTCTATTTTACTGGAATATACTTGGTTTACAAAGCAGCATTAGTTTCTGCCGTACAATGAAGTGAATCGGCTGTATGCATGCATATACCGTCTCCTCTTGGATCTCCTTCCCATCACCCTGGACATATATTCTTCAGTAGAAGTTTCTTGAACAGACTTCACTGCCAGATTGCTATAATCCTGGGTACCCAAAGCCAAGTATAAAACCTCAAAACCAGAGCCCCGAAAACTTTGGAGACGTGTAGGCAAAATATCTCCAGGCACACAAACTTCCAAGAATGACTGTGACTCTGAGGGGAGCTGGTTCTCTTTCCCAGTGAACAGTGGTTTACTTCATGATAAGAGGAAGTGTGACAAAGCCAGAGGACTTTGTTCTCATCATCATTCAGAAAGAGATACTGCTGGTGGTGATGCCGCAGAGCTCTTGCTCTCTGGGGAATGGGGGGTCTCATTTTCTGAGCACCTGGGGTTCTAAGGGACATGCTTGGTACTCAGCGTGTCTCATTTCAGCCTCACAGCAACCCTAAACATATGAGCTAGGTGTCGTGTCCATTTTTCCAGGGAAGGGAAACAGGCTCAGTGCCATTAAATGCTCTGCCTGCCGCCCAAGATTATAACTAAGTGGAAGGACTTCTGGATGCCCATTTCACCCACGCTCTGTCCATTACTACACTCTGCCTCTCCTGGAAGTCTCCACATCTTCAAACCACATTTAGATCCTCACCTCATGCCCTACACCAAAAGACAGTGTGCCTTGGGTTGAAGCATTTCCTCTCTGGTCGGTCTCTGGAAGATGGAGTTGAGCAGAGCCTGGAGCTGTGGAAAATAACTTTTCTCAGGATAAGAGAGACTGACACTTGCATTGCTCTTTTCATTTGTAGAAAATGAAGTGCTGGCCCCAGCTCCAGCTCCACCCCCAGAAGGTGAGTAAAACATTACGGTCTTACATGTTTAGTCTGCAGACACAGAACATTCATCCCAGCGTGATTTGTCCTCCATGGAAGCTGTGAGTATTAAGCTAGCTCCCGGCTGTCACGGGTTTGTAATCATAACTGTACCTTGTGTTTATATAACTTTCTTACGTTAATCTGGTTTGGATGGCACATCGTTCACTTATAAAACCTAGGAAATTATGCCAAAGTTCTTATGCTCATGCTTTCTCATTGTGGAGGCTGAGTCTCCAAGAGGCTGAAGGATTCGCAGTATTTCTTTACACATAGCTACAGGTAAACAGAGCTAAAGGTCAACACCTGTTTCCTCCTTAGTCCTGGAAGATGAGCAGCACTTTTCTTACTTGAACTGTGTCACCACCAAGAACTTCCAGAAGCTCCCAGGGGAGTTTCCAGGAAGGTTTGGTGGCCTCGAAGGCTCAACAGCAAAGACTGCTGCAGTCCCCAGTACTCTGCTGTCGAGCAGAAGGCAACAGAAAGCAAGCAATAAAGAGTCCCAGTGACTTTGGCAGGGAGAGGGGGTGTCTAGCAACACAAGTGAAGCCTGCTTTTTTTATCCAACACCTAAGGAAGAGAATGAGATTGGAAGAATGGCAAGTTCCAATGGAGTCTCCAGGACCATTTTTTCTGCCTACTCAAATAGCCCTCATGGTGGAGGCAACCAGAATTACATGCATTTTCCTATGAAGACGGGCTTCCCTGGCGGCTCAGACGGTAAAGAATCTGCCTACAATATGGGAGACCTGGGTTCAGTCCCTGGCTCGGGAAAATCCTCTGGATCGAGAAGATCCACTGGAGTGGCTACCCACTCCAGTATTCTTGCCTGGGAAATCCCATGGACAGAGGAGCCTGGCGGGTCATAGTCCATAGGGTTGCAGAGTCGGATGTGACCGAGCAACAACACTTTCACTTTTCTTTACCCATCAAGGCACCAAAGTGCCCTCTCTCAGAAGATGAGAAACTGGAATCCATTCAATAATTATTCACAGGATATTTTCCATATGCCCTAGCCCTTCAGAAGGATAGAGAGCTTACTGATAGCTGTGTGCAAATATACTGTGTTTAGAGTGGAGGAACTCTTAGTAGGAAACAGTCCCCTGTATTCAGTTTGCTTACAGCCAATTAGATAAAATACGGCCCAGAGAACAATTAAATAAGATACACTGGTGGCTCAGTGGTAGAGAATTTGCCTGCCAATGCAGGAGATGCAGTTTCAATCCCTGGGTCAGAAAGATCCCCTGGAGAAGAAACTGGCAACCCACTCCAGTATTCTTGCCTGGAGAATCCCATGGAAAGAGAAGCCTGGCAGACTACAGTCCACGGGGTCACAAACAGCTGGACACGACTGAAGTGTCTTGGCATTCATGCAAAATAAATGAAACAGCCTCAGTGTCATTTAGTTCAAACAGGGGCAAGCTCAAGTTTAGTTTTCTTTCAAATCTATGACAGTCTTCTCAGGAACTTCTTTGGTATGTTTTCTCCTTGCACATACAGACTTTTTAAAATTTATTTTGCCAGTGCTGAGGACACAGAACCTGCAGGCCAATACAGATACAACCTTGCCTTTCTCTTCTCCAGATCAGCAGCTGTCGCTGGATCACTGTAAAGTTTCCCTTGCTATGCCACATTTCATGTTTATTATGCAATACTGACCCCCTGTTCCTAAAACAAGTCTTCTCCCAAACTCTGGTAAAATTATCCGTATTAGTTCATTCAGATTCATATGTCTATTCATCAATCAGAAAAAAACAGAGAGAGAGAGAAAATTCATGGTTGAAACAGTTCTTTTCTTGCATAAACTATAAGTCAGACACTATTTGTAGGTACCTAAACAATTGATAATACAATTTCAATTAGAGATGCAAGCCAGAGGGTCTCAACTGATAAAATCTGCTCTTGTGTTGAATTTTTTTTGCCACATAATTAACCAAGAAGGTTCGAAGAAGGTTCTTCAAAAAGTCTATCCCTTTTTGGGGTCTAAAATGAAGTGATCAACATTTTATACTCATTCCATACCAGCATGTTATAATGTGGTCTCAGCATAGCTAAGCTATTTTAAGGAAATCTGTATTGCATGTTTCTATGTGTACTTTTCTTCAACATGATCAGATTTATTAACTGTTTTTATTAAAAGTTTAATGTGACTCTACATTATCATTCTTCAATTCATAATAATTCACATACAGTGTAATAAAGGAGCATGCAGCATCATTTCTGCTCTGTTCTGTTGTCATTAATTTCTTGATTTCCCCCCTTCACCTCATTGCTTATCACACAATTGAATGCTTTATTTAAGATACTTTATAAAATGTGCTTGTACTTCCCACACAGAACCAAATAAAGAGAAGGAGGCTGGAACTGCACCAGCAAAAGGTGAGTTGAAGAGAGGAAGAGTGAGAATGTATTCAACAAAGTTAGAAGCAGAAAGAGCTTGATCATCATCGCCAAGGAGGCCCCATAGAATGTGTCCTTATTAGTTAACTATGATTCCAGATGTCTATTCATCAATTTTTAAAGAGAGAGAGAGAGAATTTATATTTGAAACAATTCTTCTCTTATATATACCATGTCAGTCACTGTCTGCAGAATTCTAAACTCATATGATTCTAAATGGAGAGATACAAACCAGAGGGTCTCAACTGATACAATTTTATTTCTTGCTCTTGTATTTATTGCCACTCAACTCAACTGAGAAGATTAATATGGGCACCCAAATATTTTCTTTGAAACCACTGTACAGTTGCAGATTTTATCCCCGACTTTTTAATATTATCTAGAGGTCTGAACTATTGGACTTCAATCTTTCTTAAAATGTCTGTCTATTGTTGGAGTCTAAAATGAAGTGATCTGTACATTATGCAATTTCCACACCAGTATGTTGTAATATGGTCTCAGCATAGCTAAGCTATTTTGGCAAAATCTGTTTTGCATGATTTTATGTACACTTTCCCCCCAAGGTGATCAGATTTATTAGCTGCTTTAATTATGTTTAATGTGACTCTCTATTATAATTTACCAATTTGTAATTCATGTATAGCGTATTAAAGGAGTGCATAGCATCATTCATGCTCCATTCTGTTGTCCTTAATTCTTCTCTCCTCACCTCCACCTCGTGAAATGAAATGCTTTCTTTAAGATACTTTATAAAATGTGCTTGTACTTTCCACACAGAACCAAACAAAGAGAAGGAGGCTGGACCTGCACCAGCAAAAGGTGAGTTGGGGGAGGAGAATGAGGCTGAATTCAACAAAGTTAGAAGCAGAAAGAGCTTGGTCATGGTTACCAGGGGGCCCCATAGAATGTGTCCTTATTAGTTAGCTATGATTCAGATGTCTATTCCTCAATTTTTAAAGAGAGAGAGAGAGATTAATGGTTGAAACAATTCTTTTCTTACATATACCACAAGTCAGACACTGCAGGATTCTAGACTCCTATGATTGTAAATGGAGAGATACAAACCAGAGGGTCTCAACTGATACAATCTGATGTTCTTGCTCTTGCATTGTATTTATTGCCACTCAGCTCAACCAAGAAGATTAATACAGGCACCCAAATATTTTCTTTGAAACCACTGTACAATTGCAGATTTTATCCCTGACTTTTTAATATTATCTGAGGTCCAAACTATTGGACTTCAAACTTTCTTAAAAAGCCTGTCTCTCATTGGAGTCTAAAATGAAGTGATCAAACTTTATACTATTATCAAACCAATATGTTATAATATGGTCCTAGCATAGCTAAGCTATTTTAGCAAAATCTGTTTTGCGTGATTTTGTGAACACTTTTTCTCCAAGATGATGAGATTTATTAGCTGCTTTCACTAAGTTTATATGTGATTCTATAATTCCCCAATTTGCAATTCATGTACAGCATATTAAAGGAATGCATAGCATCATTCATGCTCCTTCTGTTGTCCTTAATTCTCTCCCCACCTCCACCCCGTTGCTTATCACACAATGAAATACTCTCTTTAACGTATTTTTTAAAGTATGCTTGTACTTTCCACACAGAACCAAATAAAGAAAAGGAGGCCGGAACTTCACCAGGAAAAGGTGAGTTCGAGGGAGGGAGAGTGAAGCTGAATTCAACAAAGCTAGAACCAGAAGGAGCTCAGCAAGGGTTACCATGGAGGCCCCAAAGAACTTCTCTGCAGTGTGTTTCATCAGTGTGGTTTAGAGTCTTCCTTTGCCTCTTATCTCCCCAACCTAATCAACATTAACGACGAATGGTGCCTTGAGCAGTTTCCATCACATTTTCAAAAGAAAAGCAGCAATGACACAATCACAAGCACTTGCTGGGATGCCAGCAAATTTATTAGTAGTTTCCAAGTTCCCATGTGCATGTGAAGGAAAAGAGATGTCTGGTTTTCTTGGGATTACACTAATTTGGAAAGCTTTCTTGATTACCCAGTTTTTTTTTAATTGAATGTTTTCATGTTAGTGTGTAAACTGTTATAGGTTTCACTAGTAATTTTGAAAACTAGCATCCCATTTTGTAACACTTTGTATTCATGTAGATTTATAGAACGAGTCATATAGAGGGATAATACAAGTTTAAGCAAGCATCATGTTACTCCCTATTGAATTGGAAGCATTCATTTCTGTACTATTATTCTAGTCTCACTTTATATGGGGGTAGTCTAGTTTTAGAAAATGAATAATCTTTACCATATACTTTTTCATGGATCCATGAAATACTAATTCCTTTGTTTCCCCATGGAGGAAGTCGTTGTCATTCCTGACCATTTGTTTCAAGTAAAGGAGCATTAGTCTCCTATAGAAGAAAGTTTCCACTGAGGTAGATGACAATTTTGCTTTGTACATCCGTATCATCATTTTAAAATTTTATTTGGTATTTGTGCAATGAAAAAGATAGTTTAAATTCTGGAATAATCCATTATTTCTCTTTTTTTCTGGAAACCCCTTCTGTTTGTTCTTACTATGTTAAATTTCATTAACTAATTCCTATGATATTATTATCTTCTATACATTAGTAAAATACTTTTTTTCTTTCTTTCAGTCAATTGGACCACTTTTCTTCAGCTAACTTGAATTTACAGCTCTCATAAATGAATACCTAATGTTAGTACAGTCACTTTGTCCTTGACCTTCAGGGGCTTCCATGGATAGTAACATGAATGCTAATCCCGGCCACATGGACCAGTCTGAAGGTTATTTGCTTATGGAATGCAGAGAGTGCAAACTCCTAGAACCACCTAGAATCCACAAGATGGGTTCAAGGAGGTTTGGACATCCTGGCTGAAGCTACTGTAACATTATTCTTTACAAGGCTGATAGTGTCCACCTGTTTCCAGATTTGGAAAGGTGCTTGGACCAGGCTGTAAGGCTTAACCAACAGAGCAGATGATGTAATCCCAGAAGGCAAACAGTCAAAGTTTTAACAAAGCCTGTGCCTGACCCTTCATCTGAAAAGCCATATTATATTTGTATGTTTAAATGAGAAAATGCCTACCTTTAAGTTAAAATCAACCAACTGACCAGTCTACCAATCCAAAAAGCTCTTTATGCAGAACATAATGTGATGAAAGAGCAAGGTCATATGACCAAGAAGGGCATTTTGAAATTGGTAACATTTTTTTTTCTGACATTTGCAGAAGTTAAACAAGGTCATGGCCACATGCAGTCACATGCTCAGGAACATAGACTGCCATGTATGTGTTTGCTCTACATGCCTAGAAAGCAAATCAATTTAGGATAGAAAGTGACATCCCTAAATAAAGAAGATAGGTGGTGGAAGTTACTTCTAAATATCCAGTCCCCTTCAATTATTACTTACTTTCATCAAAGACAGGGAAATTTCAAAGAAAATACTCAAGTGAAAAGTAGACACAATAATCATTGCTACATATATAGCCCTGGTTGAGAAAGAATTCTTGCATGAGCGTAAGCAAGACTGACACGTGCAAAAGACCTGCCTTCCAGTTTACACTAGAATTGCTGTCCTTCACCCTCCCCCAACCCTCAGTCCATCTAATTGTTTTTAATCATTCAAGGCAGGTGCCACTTTTTCCCATGACCATCCTAACTTACTTTCACTTCCTCTTCTTTCTCCTGATTTTTCTTGGATTGTGTGTGTCACTAAATCACCCTTTTCTCCACTTAATCTTGTATTAATTGTTCACTCCTTTTCCTAACAGGCTGTAAGCTTTGTGATGGTCAGGCACCAAGTTTTAGCACCTCTTTGGACCTCTCATCTCATTTCTTCCAGCATCTGGCAGAGAGCTGCATATGGCGATCCCCTAATAAATACCTGTAGATTGAATGATCAGTTGCATTTCCATGCTGACTTAGCTGCTGAGCGTACAGACAATGGTAATCTAGATAGATTTTTATTTCCATTTGCTGGGCAGGAGGATGAACACCCGTCCCACGCATGCTCTTAGTAAGGTTTGGCATGGGATGCCAGTGCTGTGTATTGTGTGTGCTCATCCTAAGACCACACAGATGATATAAGATCAGCCCATTTAACATTATTGGAAATGGTCACATCTGGATTAGAATATTTCTTGCACTTTAGTGTACTATCTAATTAGTTGAAGTATATTCAGTTAATAGCTCCAAGATGCTCGCTATTAAGAACATTCATTAGATTGATTGTAGTTCCATCAGGGCAAAGAGAGAACAAAAAGCCGTCAATCTTCCTTTATACCACATACGTGACATACATTCTGGGCTTAACCTGACCTTCATTAATAGAGTCATAGAGGGCACATCATTAATCATGGCTCTCTCTGATGATATTAATCCAAATTAATTTAAAAAAAGAGAATAACATCCATAGCAAAGCCATCTTAATATCGTTTCCAGATTGATTGCATCATTCTGTGACAACCTGGCAATGTTCTGAATTTTTTTTTTTTTTGTAGTTGCAGAATGTTGTTTGGTTCTGATATCAATCTTACCAGTAGTATTTGTGATTAGATGTGCCAACTTTTCACATCTACTGAGCCTCTGGTAAACAGCTGATTTCTCAGGAAGTGGTTTATTATTTGTTTATATTTGCTTGTTTGCCCCTGAACTTTCCTATATAGGTATCCTGTTCCCTAATACTGCTCACTGTCTTGGAATTGAAACGATCAAGATGACAATAAAGGAATGGGTTTAACCAAACAGCAACATTGGAATTTAGATATCCCTTTCGGAGTGATCATACTGGAAGATAATGTCCTTGAAAAAATAATGCTGCTGTGGCTTAGAATTCTTCCAAAATAATCACAGGTAGCAAATCAGTGGAAAGCTAAGTATAGTATCTATATCCTCAGTGGGGCCAGAGATCTGCCTTCTATTCCAATATTCATTTATTCATCTCAAGTATCCACTGAGTATTGGCTATGTGCCAGGGGCAGGTCTGGGAATTGGGTCTTGCTCTCCTAGAGCCAATTTTAGGGAGCTTTAGAGGGAAGAATGGGCTTCCTTGGTGGCTCAGATGGTAAAGAATCTGTCCTGCAATGTGGGCGACCCAGGTTTGATCCCTGGGCAGAGAAGATCCTGTGGAGAAGGGAATGGTTACCCACTCCAGTATTCTTGCCTGGAGAATTCCATGGACAGAGGAGCCTGGTGGGCTACATGGGATCGCATGGGGTCCATGCAACCTGGGGTCGCAAAGAGTCAGACACAACAGAAGCACTCACACTTTCACTTTTCAGAGAGGAGAATACCATTATTAGNTGGGCTACATGGGATCGCATGGGGTCCATGCAACCTGGGGTCGCAAAGAGTCAGACACAACAGAAGCACTCACACTTTCACTTTTCAGAGAGGAGAATACCATTAGTAGAGGACGGTAGATTTCAGCTTTGGAAGTAGACAGCTGCGGTGGAGAGCCATGGGTGGGGAATAATGTGGTGCGCAAGTGAGGTCATACTTTTTCCTTTTGATCATCCAACATCATATGTGTGAACTTAGTCTAATGAGACTGAGTCTCTTCTGTGCTGAAACGATTAGCCCTGTGGGACATTTCAAGTCTGGTCCTATGAGTGGTTCTGCATCTATCAGTAGCATTAGAATCAGACATCAGTTTGCAGATCAGTACTCATCCTAATGCCTAAGTTCTGATATATATTTTTTAATTTTGAAGCTTATCATTTTATAGCCAGTATATTTATAGCCGATAAGGCCAGCTGGGATTGTTACTGCCACTCTTTATTTTCCTTCCAGAGAAAAAACTGCCCTTGGTTATTGCTGCAACAGAAATGAAAACTTTTTCCCCAGGCATTTTCATTAACGTTACCATGAACTATCACGAATGAACCCTGTGTGTGTTCACTGTCTCATAACTTGAGATGAAGAGTCTTTATTTTGGCATGAATGTGGTTGTTGGATGAGGAAGTGAGTCAGCAGAAGTTCCAGCAAATTTCTTCTAAATGATATGATTTCTGAAATGAAATGATTTTTTTCTTCCTTTAGGTCCATTTACATCTGCAATAACATTGTCTTGGTCTGTATATTCTAACTACATGATTTATTTATAATGAATTTTGTTAAAAAAGTATGACTATACTTCAACATTTCAAAACACAGCCATTATAAAATGAAACATTGATTTAATAGATTTGGGGGGCCACTCATTAAATAAATGCATTTATAGTACAGTGAATCCTGATTTCATAAGCACCAAAGTGTGAAGACGTGTGTCTTATTCAGAAAACACCGTAAATTAATCAAATGTCTCAAAACATGATGAATTAATGTTAGCTGTTTTTGTTATTGCCTTCCATATTGATTGTTGTTGTTGCTGTTTTTATTTTGGTAACATATGCCGATATTTACTACAACTGACTATCCTGCTTGAGGAGTTCATAAATTCATCTATATGAAACAAAGTATTATACCTGTATTTAACTGAGGTTTGTTTACAGTACATTTTAACTGTATATATTCTAAAATCTCAGCAATTGTCCTAAGTGTGTATACTTTAAAAATTAATTTTAAAAAGGCAATTTAAGTCAAACATAGGTAGGAGTTATATTATGCCCAAGAGAGCTTGGAGAATTATAGGAATGGATACCGTCTACATCTCTGGGGTTCTTTCCCTCACTTTCCAGATTTTTCATATGGAACCCCTGAAAATTCCCGGCTTGTAACATGAGTTCTTTCTCCATTTTCCAGGTGTTCTTCATCAGAAACTTCAGTGTTGAAAGAACTATTTTTATGATTTTGCAAATGCTGTTTTCCCATGACTTAGAGACATAAAATTCAACTTTGGTAAACTTCTCTTCTGTGTGGCTCGGGAAGAGAGTTCTGTTGCTTTCAATTTGTCATTTACATGGGCCATATCTTCAGCCAAAAACAGATGTTTAAGCTTTCATCACCATTGTAGTTGCTTTTAAATACAAATAAGAAAATATGACATATTTTGCATTTTTTGTTTGAAAATGATCTTTGTATAATGCCACACCTTTCATATGTGTGGTGTTGGATTAAGCAGATCCCAAAAGAGTTGGATATTCAATTTTCCTCCAAGCAGTAGAACCTGTTTTTCTATGGTACGTAAGAAAAAAATTCAACCAGGCAATTTTTTTTTAAGGAGTTCAGGTCAGAATCCCAACAGCTTAATTTTATTTCCCAATCTAAAAGATGACAGGAACAAAACTACTTTATTATTTTTTTGATGTCAACATTTAAGTTTTATTTATTTATTTTAAAATTCCATCTCAATGTTAATTGGAGGATAATTACTTTACAATACTGTGATGGTTTCTGCCCTATTTCGACATGAATCAGCCACAGGCATACCCACATGCCCTCCCTCTCACCGCCCTCCCCAACCTACCTCTCGAGGTTGTCACAGAACACCAGCTTTGGGTTCTGCTTTATTTATTTATTTTGACCGTGCCACATGGCTTGCAGGATCTCAGTTTCCTGACAACAGGTTAAATCCAGGCCACAGAATTGAAAGGCTGTGATGTTTTATATGTGCTGCCTTAATAGTCGAAAATAGTTGTGCACGTTCCTCAAATAGTCTTATAATTTAGTGGACTTTGAAACCACTCACCCATCAAATTTTTGCTTAGAGTGTGGCTTCTCTTTTCATGTTAGTTTTACGAAAGTGTGTACTCTTTTCCCAATCATTTGCATTCTAAACAAGTAACTCAAGGGTTCATTAGGGTTCACCAGGCACTGTGCATAACGTAAACAAACAACAACCATGCCTGTATAAAATGCAGTGTTCGTTTCACTCAAAATGGTTCTAGTTCCTAGTTAATATATAAGAAAGGAAGCTGCTTTCTAGGATTTGGCTGCACTTTAAAACTTCATTTTTAAGAATTTTTACAGGACTTTAAATCAAGATTCTTTATGTATTTTAGTAAATAAAGGCCTTCAAATAGGCTACACGAATAAAATACTACATACTGAGTTAAATGTATGGCAAATAATATAGAGACATTGCAAGGCATTTTATTTTTGGTTATATAAAATTTTAATTATATAAATTTTCTGAAATGCAGAATTACCCTAAGAGCTCAGCAATACCTCAGTTCAGTTCAGTTGCTCAGTAATATCTGACTCTCTGCGATCCCACGGATTGTAGCGCTCCAGGCTTCCCAGTCCATCACCAACTCCTGGAGCTTGCTCAAACTTGCAGAAATACCTAGACTTCCCTAAATGCAAAGAGTTTGTGGAAAGTAAATGGATATTCCAGGAGAAAAGGATTCAAACATGAACTAAGTTTGGGAAATGCTAATACTGTATCATTTCTGATCTCCATCCTCATGAGCACTGAAGACTTTGAGATACCCTTCAGTAATCGCATACAAACACTCTAAAACACAAACATGTAACTTTATTTAGCCTAGTGTTTCCCAAGCTTCTTTGACCAAAGAGATCTTCCTCTGAAGAATCTTCAATCCCACAATACCCAGTGAATCACCTTTTACGTTCTGAAGATATGACATTAAGGTTTTCTATACATTACATTAGTTATTTTGTTTAAAAAATAGTAAAACACATCTTCGGTTGACAGTTTAAGAAATTTCAGACTAGTAAATAATAGATGTTGTAAATATACTAATATGTTATACCTGTGCTATTTTACTTCTTGTCAGGACTTTATTAAGCACTTTTTTAGTCAATAGTCTCATGCGTTTGTTTTCTGTACCCTATTTTATTTAGTCATTTAAGTTCGTATTTTGAAGGCCACAATTATTCTAGTATTTTAAGTACAAAGATTATTATTATTTACACTAAGACTAGTCTTTATGCTTTGGAAGGATAGGAGCAGAAGTTTAGATAAACACCAAATACCTATTTAACCATCTAAAATGTAAGACACTTTGAAATTCAGACATTTTCTAAAAGGAAATATTCAGTGTTTTTGTACAAACACTACAAGGGATATTTTGAATTTTTTAAATGGGTAAATATTGGATTGGCTAAAAAATTCGTGTTTTTCTGTAAGATGTTACAGAAAAATACAAACAAATTTTTTGCCCAACCCAATATCTTATAAATGTATGTAAAGTATTTGTAAATAGTTTACAAATTGGTAAATATTTTTCAGATTATGTTGTCCAACACCAATATAACCTTGGGAAAAGATAGATAAAATTTCTATAATAACTACTGGTGAACTTAGTATAACAAATTGATACATACTAGTTATTGTTGACTTTTGTTTCCTAAATATAGAAGAAGAATTAATTATAAGGCTTTCTGAGGGCATTGAATTATCAAACTATATAAAAACATATATGCTTTTATGTCTGTGTTCAAAGGAATGTGGTATATGAGTTATGCTGTCAGTGACTTTCGCTACAAAATAACTCAAAATGCACCTCCACTGTTGATTTCATCGAGGTTAGATAGTTTGCATTAATTTTGTTTCTAATTTACAAGTACATAAAACATTTGCATAGAATACCATTTTTAAAGCTACTTTCATTGAGATTATCCAAGTCTCTCACTCTTTTACAACATTTATTTATTTTTCTCTTTCGCCTGCCGTTTAATCTTTCAGGTGCCAAGTCCTCTAAGGCTTACTCATCAGTTGAGTGTTTTGTATAGTTTCTCTTCTTCTTTTGCAGATTTCTCTTTTCCCAGGATACTCAGGATGAAGTTCTTTTCTCCTTGACTTTTGATTCCTCTTTCTTATTTCAGATGAAGAGGACGTCTCCCCTCCTGGTGCCCTGCCTCCAGGTTAGGATGATTCCAACTCCTTTCCCCACTTTGCAATGCATTATTGATTGACAGCTAAGGTGATGGGTTGACAGAGTTGCTCGATGAGACCAAACTCAGAACAGGGTCCCCCCTTCTTGCCCGTGCCAAAGAGGGAAAATGTTGGCTTTGAGGGCAATTTTTTTTTTTTAAATCAGAAACTTTTAAAAAAGAGGCTTTCTTTGTGAAATAAAAGTAGTAACTCTTGGATATAAATTTTAGGGGCAAAAATGTGTTTCATCTCCAGCTGTATACTTTTTCCCTTATTCTTTAGATATGTGGATTTGTAAAACTTAATTATTGTTTTTTAAATAGGACACATACCTTTTATAAATGTTTTCAAAGTTGAAGCTCTACTGATTTTCCATCCAGACCAACTTCTAGTGTCTTTTCTCCCCATCATCAAAAGAGACAGGATTTGGGGGATCCTAGAAGGTTAAAGCCAGCGTTCCATTTTCTCCCCTCCCCTTGTGTCATCCAAATCACACTTTCCTTTCAGGTTTGGGTAGTCGGGCTCTGGAAAGAAAAGATTCAGGTGAGCACACAGCGGAAGCAAGGTGTCTCGACCTCATCCTAATATAGTAATCACTAATGATGTCATTTCTTGAAGCTGTATTTGATTCTAATCTTGGTTTTATTCAGTTTGTAGCTTTTATAGCAGTCTTTCATTACATTTCTCTGACTAGAAAACTAATGCATTAAGAAACAATTAATTTTGCATGATACACATACACACACCCCCACACGAATTCAGAAATCTAGCCACATACAACACAGGTTCCTTTGTTTCATTATCAATTTGCAGACCCTTTCTGAGATAGAAACAAGCAAAACAGAAAATCCAAGTCCTCACATTTCAAATATTAATGGCCACTCTGCACTATCACAAATATACACAACATAGAATTTTAACATCAACTTGAGTATTTTTAAAAATTGTATAATCATGTGAAGACATTGCTTAACTTCACTGTGAAAATGATGGTCTGTGGATAGGAATACTAAGCATGATTGACACATGGGAACTAAAATAACTAAATCTACATTTCCTCCTTTTCAAGAAACATTAATAGGTTGAGTGTTGGCAATCCATGCACTTTTTTTTCCCAGTTATTAGTTGCTGAAACTGAACTTCCTTTCATTCAGCTCTCAGAGACAGAAGAACTTTCTACAGTTCTCTCTCCTGCTCTCCTCATTGGACAGCTGATTGATACCTCCTAAGCACCTGGAGTGCAAACTAGAAAATGCAAAATAAGCTTCATTTCCAGATTGTCTGTCTTCATGGGAAAGCCTCAAAGAGATTATTTCTCTTTCTGTTTTTCTAGTTTTTCCCCTTTCTTACAGGATGATCCTAGAGTTCTTGAAATCTGTGCCTGCAGGTCACGATCTGTTACTTAATTGTCAAGCTAAGGCCACATCATACAAGCATCATGGAAATATCTACTCATATAGCACTGAAGAAATCTGGACGTATGAGGCCAGGCTTGGCAGCCTGATCTTTCCCACTCGACCTGCAGACTGATCCATCCCGTTAGTCTTTTCCAACTCAGCTGTGGTACAGACAAGGCTTTATAGCCTGTCACCTGGAAAAACACTAAGGCTCCGCTTTCATGGCCTTCCCACGGGTGTTTATCAGTTAGGGGATAAGCAGAACTAGGAAACAAAGGAAACTTGGCTGCCAGGAAAGAGTAACAACCTTTCTGAGAAGTTTTGCTATTCCTAGAAATGAGATTCCATTTGGAAGAGATAGCCCTTTAAGAATGGGAATCGCTCAGTCTCTACTGGCTGTGGGAAGGTGGATGGAAAAAATGATGTTATATTTATCCAGGTTAATTAGACAGAGAGAAGCTTCTGTGTTGGCAAGAAAAACAAAGCTGGGTAAGTAAGTGTGCCTGAAAAGAACCTGGCCCTGAAATGACCCTTTTCCTCCTTTCCGCTCATTAGAATGGTCTATTGGTGAACCACCAGTTGGAGAGGAGCAGGACAAGCAGAATGCCAACAGTCAGCTGTCCACCCTGTTCGTGGAAAAGCCTCAAGGCGGAGCCGTGAAAGTCGGTGAGTTCCAAGCACTAAATCCTGGTCTTTTTTTCCAGATGAAGATGAAATTCAAATAACATAAAATTAAGCATTTTACAATGAGTAATAAATTAGTACACTCACCTGTGTAGTTCAGAACGGTTCAGTTGCTCAGTCGTGTCCGACTCTTTGCGACCCCATGAACCACAGCACACCAGGCCTCCCTGTCCATCACCAACTCCCGGAGTCCACCCAAACCCATGTCCATTGAGTCGGTGATGCCATCCAGCCATCTCATCCTCTGTCATCCCCTTCTCCTCCTGCCCTCAATCTTTCCCAGCATCAGGGTCTTTTCAAACAACTGTATAACCAAGTACCAAAATACATTCATCACCTCAAATTCCATGGACAGAGGAGGCTGGTGGCCTTACAGTTCATAGGGTCACAAAGAGTTGTACACAACTGAGTATGCACACTCCCCAAAAAGAAACCTGCATCCTGTCCAGCTTTATCCGGCTTTCTCCCTCCCTGAACCCTGGCAACCAATAATCTCTTTGTCTCTATGAAAGTCCCTATTCTGGATATTTAATATAAGTGGAATCACACAATAATATGGGACCTTTTGTATCTGTTTTTTTTTCACTTAGCATAATGTTTTCAAGGTCTATCCAAGTTGTGGCATGAATCAGTGCTTTATTTCTTCTTATGGTTGAAAAGTATTCTTTTGAGTGACAGCTATTGTTTCAATAATCTGGAGCACAGAGTGTTGAGTGCCTGGACCCCTGCCAGGGTAGGTTCAAATCAGTTTCCTCATCTGTAAAATAGAGATAATACTACCCATGAAGCACTCTGAATAGTCCCTGGCGTATCTTCAAGTGGAAGCCTCAAGGTGGAACTGTGAAAGTTGGTGAGCCGGTGTTTGCCATCATTACAACACACCTCATTCCATAAAATGATTATAAATCTGCACACATGCTGGATCAAGAGTTGCAATGTCTCAGAGGAAGCTGATCAGATAGAAGGTTTAATTCTGAATATATTCATTAATGAATATTGACGATACGCCTCCTCTTTTAGACATTGTGCTAAACACTGAGTAAAATATGTGAGCACTCAGAATTTACAGACTTAATGGGATGAGCAAACAAGAAGTTAAACAAATCACCACAAACGCCATCACAGATGCCATGAGGAAACAAAGTGGTAAGCCAGAGAGTGACCAGGGGGTCCAGGACTTTTTGCTAAATGAATTTTTATAAGGAATATTGTGATCAGAACTAGTCTTTGACACCAAATGTTTTGCAAATGAACACACAGCTGACTACAGTCTAAAATTACTTCTTTTAGGTCTGGAATATAGAAGCACACTGCATATGAATAGAAATGCTTGCTCTCCTTGTGTTTGTGGAAGACACCAAAATGCTAAACTGGCCACTGGGCTAGAATTTTGATGTCCTTTAGGTCTAATGAGTCAATACAAATAGATAGGAGAGTGTCCTTCAAAAAGATCAGCTTCATTTAGTCATATTCTTATAACTCCAGTCTTAGCATCATCTTGCCTAATAAAAAGGATGGAAAAAATCCATATATATATGCATATTTAATATATGGTATGTATGTGTTTTCTCATTTTTTCATATTTATGCATACTCATAGAGATATTGTGGATTTGGTTTTAGACCACCACAATAAAGCAAATATCATTATAAAGCAAATCCCAAGAATTTTTTTCCTCCCAGTGTATATGAAAGTTATGGTTACACTATAGTCTTTTAGGTATGCAATAGATGGTTAGTTGGATGGTTGGATGGCATCACCAACTCAATGGGCAAGAGTTTGAGTAAGCTCTGGGAGCTGGTGATGGACAGGGAAACCTGATGTACTGCAGTCCATGGGGTCACAAACAGTTGGACACAACTGATCAACTGAACTTAACTGAGTATTATGTTTCAAAAAAAAATGTACTTACCTTCGTTAAAAATGCTTTATTGCTAAAAAATGCTAAGCATTATCTGAACCTTCAGTGAGTCATAATCTTTTTGTAACACTAACATCAAAGATTACTGATCACAGATCACCATAACAAGCATAACAATAATGAAAAAGTTTGAAATATTGCCGAAATGTGACACAGATTGGAAAAATGACTTGCTCGATGCAGGCGTGCCACAAACCTTCAATTGGTTAAAAAAAAAAATACAGTAAATTTGAAGTACAATAAAGCAAAGTGCAATAAAATGAGATATGCCTGAATAGGTTGTTTTATACACATTAACATGTGCTTGGATTCCAAAATTATTTCCACTAATTTCCCCATTGCTCCTTTTCTGCTCCATAAACCTCAAAAGCAGAAGCAGTTGGAGTATCCTAGAACCTAGGGTGCTCATAAAAAAAGTCAGGGCCCTTCCATTGTTCAATTCCATCTGTGCCAGTCACGTCATAGTAGTCCTGTCTAACTCCTTTTGTGCATGCTAAGTTGCTTCAAGTCATGTCTGACTCTTTGCGACCCCATGGACTGTAGCCCGCCAAGCTCTTCTGTCCATGGAATTCTCCAGACAAGAACACTGGAGTGGGTTGCCATGCCCTCCTCCCAGGATCTTCCTGACCCAGGAATCAAACCTACATCGCCTTTGTCTCCTACATTGGCAGGCAGGCTCTTTACCACTAGCACCACCTGGGAAGCCCCAAACGGCAATTTTTAAACCACAGTCTGAATTGCCTGTGTTCTTCTCCTAGGTGAAAATATCACCTTCATAGCCAAAGTCAAAGCTGAAGATCTTCTCAGAAAGCCCACTGTCAAATGGTTCAAAGGGAAATGGATGGACCTGGCCAGCAAAGCTGGGAAGCACCTCCAGCTGAAGGAAACCTTCGAAAGACACAGCCGGGTATGACCCTGAGCCCCTCGGCAGGGGCTTGGCCGGCTCGCTCGTCTGCGTACGTCAAAGGCCATCTTCAGGTTCAGCTTTGAGGGACGCCAGTTCCAGAACACCCACTGGAGTTACCATTCCCAGTGTTTATACTCCAGTGTGGTGGCCCTGCTGTGCCCGGCGGCTTCAGAGCACTGCTCTGACCCCTCCTGTATTGAGAATATTGTACCCGAATCCCCAGATGCAGACACGTCTTTAAGCCAATGCTGTGGACTTGGGGAAATAACTGCAATGTGGTGGCTTTTTTCTGCCAGCAAGGTAGGACTGAAATATGTTCGGATGCGTTTCATTGCAGGTGTACACATTCGAGATGCAGATCATCAAAGCCAAAGAGAACTACGCAGGAAACTACAGATGTGAGGTCACCTATAAGGATAAGTTTGACAGCTGTTCATTCGATCTTGAAGTACACGGTAAGAGAGGCTTCTAGTCTGGATAAGTGTGGTTTTTTTTTTTAAATGGGGTGTGAGAGGATAGAGGAGAATAAGATCATTTTTTAGTATGAGATTTTGAAAATAAAGTTTCCTGGGACAAGAATGTCAGGAAACCCAGGTAGAAGAGAGGATGTTCTCTTATAAGGACTAAGGTCAGATACAGACATTCTTCATCTATATGTTCTGCGTACGGCCAAGAGTGAATTTAATGAGAATAAATTAAAGGTATATATGTAGATTAGGGGAAAAAAGCAATACTTTGATAGTTAAACAAAGGGAAATTTGACTTGGTAATAAATCAAAAGTGTGACATGCTTTGTATTTTTAGACAAAGCTGCTATAATTTAAAACCAGAGCATTACAAATGTTATAGGATCTAGGTTCAGGAAGCGCCACTGCTCTCTGTGACATGTTACTTGCTCCATGTTTGGGGTCATGCCTTTGGTCATAGGCGCTGTATCTCCACTGGGATCCCTCCTGGAGTAGGGTGACTGGGAGGATGAAGAATCCAGGAAACATGGTCCATTCACCTTGAATGTGTAGGTGAAGGAGGTCCAGCATTTATGACTCATCGTAATAAATCACAGAAGGGCTGCAACAGAAAGAGGGAAAGGCTCAATTTCGGTTTCTTCGAGAAGTGTTTAGGCAGATTAGAATCGAAAGGTGGAAATTATGAGAAGGTGAATTTTACATTCACGTTAGCACTAGCTTTTTCTTTAAAGCCATATAGACACCACAGATGGCTGTGAGAGTCCCAGTCTGAGAATTGTCGAGGCTGAAGGATCATGGGTGGACCGGTGCTGTCGAGATTTCAATATTAAGTGGGACTCTGGTCCTGAGCACCGCTCCTTCACCGGACCAGGCATCTGAGAATCACATAAGGGGCTTTCTAAAAATACTGATCTCTGGGTGCCCATCCTCAATCTGGTGAATCAAAATTTTCAGCAGGGAGATGAAGAAGCTGATATTTTTTAAGCTCCTTGGATGATTCTAATGGGCACACAGGTGGAATGACAAGAGGATAGGGGAACTCCTAAAGCCCCATCATCTATTCTGAGGGAGGGAGGATAAGCTCTGATGTCTCAGCAGCTCAGGCAGTGGAGGAGAGCCACCCCTTCCCCACCCCCTTCAGCTCATTCCTTCCATCGGAAGAACCCCCACAGCCTGGAGAGGAACTGAACACAAAACTGGGTTCTTCACGGATGTTTATTTTACCATTTTCTTTCCTTTCAAAGAATCTACTGGGACTACTCCAAACATTGACATCAGATCTGCTTTCAAGAGAAGGTAACTTCAAAAGGGGGATCTAGGTATCTTTTGTAAAACATGAAAGTAAAGGATTTTCAAATACATGTTCCCTTCCGCCACACTCTATATTTCAAATGAGATCAAGTCTCTTCACCAAAGTCAAACATACTGAATATTGAGAAGTTAGTTTTCAAGAGATGCCATGGGCTTAATGCCATATTGTGTATGTGCTGATCATTTTTTAGAATATTCTTGATATAGTGAAACTCTTTATTTTACAGGTCTCACTGTTGCCTTAGAAAGACACATTTTCTTACTATTCATATGTGGCTTCTTCATGAATTGCATTATTTTCCGCCAAATGACCCAGAAAAATATATAACAATACACATCTCATATAGCATCAGTTAAGTAATGTTAGAAAATTTACATTGCTTTTTATTTAGGAATCACATACAGAGCTATTAGACCATATGCCCAGAAAACTACAATTAAATAGCTCCTTACTAAAGTTAGCACAATTTAAGTATGGGATTATCCTAAATGAAAGACCATTGAGTCTGCTGGAATAAGAAACATTGTATAAAGGCAAAATATAGATACTTACCTGATTTATTTTGCAACCACCAAGGCTGAAAAATCAGAAAGTCAAGGAAGAAAAATGAAAAAAATTTTCTAGCCTGTGAGAAATGCAACTAGTTTCTTCCTGGTATTATTTTCTTCTCTGTACTTCTTTACTTATCTAGAATTCTTCCAAAATAGAAATTCATTAATGAGAGGAAATGGTTTGTTCTTCCTAAGACTGAATCCACACAACAGTTTTGTTGAGTAAGGAAAGTCATCCCAAACTAGTATAAAGTGATGATTTAGCCTTGTTCATAAAAGGCAAAATTTCTTTCTAAATTATGAAGTAATGAATATTTTAATTACTCTTAAAAGATATGTAGTATGTCCTGATCAGTCCATTGTATTTTTTAAAGTCATAACTTTCAAAGTCTCTTAGCTTCCCTTCACCCCGCAGTTAACAAACACATAGATCTCACACTAGGTTCATCCTATATATGTCTCTTTTAAGAGAGAAAGATGTCATCTACTTAGTTTGGGGCTTTAAGAGAATAGAAATATGTTTATGTCAATAGGTCTTTTCCAAATACCTGCTTTAAAGAAATTTTGAGGACACATTATTTGAGTTCAATTCTGATAACTTAACGTGTTATACACGCTGTTTTTAAACCCGCAGACTTTTTTCTTAGAAACCATAACTAGCATTTGTAAAGCGCAGGAAACAAAATCTTCATTAAAAAATTAAACATGTAAGTAACTATGTAGCACCATTTAAATATCAGCTTATAGCTTCTATTTAGAGTTTATATGAAATCATGAAGGTGGCTGCATGCCTAAATTAAGATGCATTTCTCCACAGGAAAACACTTTAAAAAACTCCTAGTAAAGGGCTCAACAATTCCAAGACAAACTTTTGGAAAACACATTTTAAATGGTATAAATATTAACAAGAAAATAAAAAGCTTATAATCCTTTCCCTTTCAAGAGAAAGGAATGCATCTTTTAAAAAGCCCTGCACTAGCTCCATTTTTTTTTCTCATTTATTTTTATTAGTTGGAGGCTAATTACTTTACATCATTGCAGTGGTTTTTGTCATACATTGAAATGAATTAGCCATGGATTTACATGTATTCCCCATCCCGGTCCCCCCTCCCACCTCCCTCTCCACCCGATCCCTCTGGGTCTTCCCAGTGCACCAGGCCATGTTGGTATCATATTACCTGATTCATCTAGTGATGGACACAAAGAGGTTACCTTTGAATAGAAGTTTTGTACTTATATATTTGACACTGGTCCAGTTCATCTTTCAAGCCAATCTCTGTATGACCTGAGTAACAGAGATCGGCCAAAGTCCTTTGCTTTTTACACACAGACATTCCCAGAGCCCCCAACTTGCAAAAACAAAGTACTTTGTGTTGTTTGGCTTTAGTGCATTTGTGTTATTCTGTTTTAACACAAATCCAAGCAGTTTTACATATGCAATCTACAAAAATGTGTCTTCTGAGATCGTAGAGTAACGCAAGCTCCTTGTGTTTACTTTTCCACAAGTACATCCTCCAAAATTTAAAATGTCACTTGTGTGAAAAGAAACTGATTGTGTTGATTTAGTCCCATGATTTGTGTGCTAGTACAACATTGCATATACATTGTACGTAGAGTGTTTGGGGGAATTGTTGTATATGTGTCTCAGCATTAAACCCAGATTTGCTTTTCTTTTGTTAATGACAGTGGAGAAGGTCAAGAGGATGCAGGGGAACTTGACTTTAGTGGTCTCCTGAAACGTAGGTGAGAACCCAGTGATGGAGTGAGGCGCTTTGGCCTGGAAATCTTTTAGATACCCACTCAGAGAAGTCAAGTTTAAAGTGGATCTTTTTCAAAGAATTTCTCATTTCTTAAAATGTGTTTTGCTTATGGAATATTATAACAGTGTTGATTAAGAGACAGTGAAAAAACTGCCTACTAATCTGCTAAATATTTTAGCTGATGCTTTTACTTTATTTTTAAATGTTTTATGAGTCTTCACATATTTTCTTAGTAGGGGATGAGGAAATTTGAAAACTGAGACAGAAGACTTAAATGCCTGAAAACTTCTTATTTCTCTCATGATTTCTATTATTTCAATCATGATCCCTCATCATGATTGAATAAATAAAGCCTCCATTCTCCTGCTTTTGATATTTGACTGAAAAGTCAATTTCAAAATTTTGGTAGAAGTCTCAGCAGATGTATATATTTATGTGTATATATATATACATATGTGTGTATATATATATATATACACCTACTTTAACATAGTATTGATGATTTACTGTATTTCATCAAATCTAAGACACCATGCTAATATATACTTGTATTATAAACCACTAAGCAATGAAAAAAATTGTCCAAATAGCTTATTATGACATACTGCTGATTATAAGGTACATCCTTATTTCAGAGATATTTAAAATGCCCCAAATTTGCATTTTTAGAAGGGATAAAATAGTAGCGAAATGGTTTAGTGTTGAGTATTATCACTCACACTCCTTTAACTTTGTACTCTCTGGCAATAAAATTTATAAATCATTATGGATATTTAGTACACAACCATTTTATAGAATTTCTGCCCTATATATGCATATTTGTTTTTTGTTTTTAGTCGCTCAGTCATGTCCAACTCTGTGTGACACCATGGACTGTAGCCCACCAGGTTCCTCTGTCCATGGGATTTCCCAGGCAAGAATAGTGAAGTGGGTTGCCATTTCCTTCTCTAGGGGATCTTCCCAACCCAAGGCTCAAACCTGCATCTCCTGCATTGGCAGGTGGATTCTTTACCACCTGGGAAGTCTGTATATGCACATACGTAATCATAAATATACTATATTGTATATATGTTATATATAAAGATATACATGTCTAGATAGTTGCTGTAGCACAGAAGAAACATAAAGAAAATGACTTTTGCTAGGATGGTGTTTATGTACCAAATTTGTGAATAAACAGTAAAACTACAACTCTAAATTTATGATATATAAATTTAGTTTTTAGGCTTCATTTAGTTTTTTAGGTTCACTTCTTATTATTCTTACAGCTTTCTATGTCTACTGAAAATCATAGGTATATATATGCTTCAAAACAAATTACAAATGGTAATAAATAGGCTTGTCTTCATTCTTAGTTTAGTTGGGTGGTTTTATTCAAACCCCTGTGAATGAAACATTCACCCCCAGCTCTAAACATTTAAGCTGAGAACAGAAACATTAACAGGTGCCATTTATCAATAACCAAATGGATATTAGCCAATCAATAGACTTTGGCAGTATCAAAAACATCATTCCTTCTTTGGATACTTCAAATAATCATTAGCCTCAATAATATTTATTAATTCTCCAAAAGTATCTTAAAGCAATAGAATATGAAGTGACCTTAATGAGCCACACTCTTCCTGTTCTACAAGTGAGAGACCAAAGACCAGAGAAGTTGAGTGACTTACCCCAAGTCAGACAGGTAACTTGAGGGAGGGCAGGGACCTACATCCAAGTTCCCTTTTCTGAGTCAGCACACTTCCTGTGACTCCACATAAGAAACATCACTCTGAATCTGCCTGGGAAGTTGGCACCTTGGACATTTATAACAAGTTAAAACTTTAGGAAGACAAGAGGTTTTGGTTTTTTTTTTTTTTTCCTGCAGTCATTTACTCAACCAGGAAGATTCTAAATGCTTTCTTTGTGTAGACTATAACACTAGTTGAGCTGAGGAAAAGAAATCCAATGCCTTCCAGCACCTGGCACATGGAAAGATATAAATACATATTTGTGGGAAGAAAAAGGTAGTGGTTAAAACATGGATTTGAGTCTCAGCTCTCCCATTTACTAATTACTGGACATGACTTTGGTCAAGTGATATGTCCTTTCTGAGACTTGATAATCATAAATATACTATATTGTATATATGTTATATATAAAGATATACATGTCTAGATAGTTGCTGTAGCACAGAAGAAACATAAAGAAAATGACTTTTGCTAGGATGATGTTTATGTACCAAATTTGTGAATAAACAGTAAAACTACAACTCTAAATTTATGATATATAAATTTAGTTTTTAGGCTTCATTTAGTTTTTTAGGTTCACTTCTTATTATTCTTACAGCTTTCTATGTCTACTGAAAATCATAGGTATATATATGCTTCAAAACAAATTACAAATGGTAATAAATAGGCTTGTCTTCATTCTTAGTTTAGTTGGGTGGTTTTATTCAAACCCCTGTGAATGAAACATTCACCCCCAGCTCTAAACATTTAAGCTGAGAACAGAAACATTAACAGGTGCCATTTATCAATAACCAAATGGATATTAGCCAATCAATAGACTTTGGCAGTATCAAAAACATCATTCCTTCTTTGGATACTTCAAATAATCATTAGCCTCAATAATATTTATTAATTCTCCAAAAGTATCTTAAAGCAATAGAATATGAAGTGACCTTAATGAGCCACACTCTTCCTGTTCTACAAGTGAGAGACCAAAGACCAGAGAAGTTGAGTGACTTACCCCAAGTCAGACAGGTAACTTGAGGGAGGGCAGGGACCTACATCCAAGTTCCCTTTTCTGAGTCAGCACACTTCCTGTGACTCCACATAAGAAACATCACTCTGAATCTGCCTGGGAAGTTGGCACCTTGTACATTTATAACAAGTTAAAACTTTAGGAAGACAAGAGGTTTTGGTTTTTTTTTTTTTTTCCTGCAGTCATTTACTCAACCAGGAAGATTCTAAATGCTTTCTTTGTGTAGACTATAACACTAGTTGAGCTGAGGAAAAGAAATCCAATGCCTTCCAGCACCTGGCACATGGAAAGATATAAATACATATTTGTGGGAAGAAAAAGGTAGTGGTTAAAACATGGATTTGAGTCTCAGCTCTCCCATTTACTAATTACTGGACATGACTTTGGTCAAGTGATATGTCCTTTCTGAGACTTGCTTTCCACAACTGTAAATGCAGAGAATAAAAACTACTTGAGTATTATTGAGAGAATTAAGTTAAATGTAAGAGACCAGACTCATACAGGTGTCAAATAAATATCCACTTCCCCCCAGAATGTGACATTTTCCCTTGAAGAACTTACATTAGTGTCAACTATTTAATTTGTACTTGCTATCTTCCTCTACAAAGATTGAATCATGTGCTGATTTTCAATACTTCCTGAAAGGAGTTCAGGGTGGAGAGCAGAAATGAGGCACTGTGTGCTTGGAAGAAAAACTGGAAGGACAGGTCTTCAGATAGTTATAGTCAGATATTTTCAGGAGCTGATTTTATGAGCCCAATTCTCATATCTCCTCATATCTAGAAAGCACTAAGATCCTTTGTGATAACGACTGTTCCTCATAACTAGCAAAAGCTTCATGAGACTAGCAGAAATTTTCCAGAAAAATATGTGCTTAATTGTGTGTATTCCCCCTTCACCAAAATCACATATATGCTGACCTTCCTCACTGCCTCTCTGGAACAGTTTCTCAGAGCTATCTGAGGTGCAGTCCTCATTTTGTCCCAAATAAAACTTAATTCATAGCTCTCACATTGTGCAATTTTTTTAAGTTGACATTAGTCAAGTGACATAATACACATACACACACATAATCAATCAATAAAAATGTAATAGATTATTAAGTGCCAAGTCTGATTAAAAGGAAAAGGAAAGAAAAAAGAACACGCTAGTTCTATCAGTAGTTTTCAGAGTGAAAGAAATCTAATTAATGGTCAAAATGACTATAGAAGAAAATTACTAGAAAAAAACTGAGCAGTCAACATGTCTCTAGTTCTCATTTTCTTTACATCCCCTAATTATGATTTTGACTCATAATTAGATTGTTGTCACCATGAGACTATATTCATTTAATATACTATGTACTAATCCACCAGTATAACTTTGGAAATCATTGTGTTTTCCTACTAATTTGTGAACTGCATGTGTTTTCACTGTAGTAACATGTGGTAATAACATTTCTACTCCTAGAGTGTATGGCAAAATCCTCATGAGAATAAATATCATTACCACCAACATCTTTATACAATGAAATATCTCCCTGCCCTGAACAAAGTTAGCATATTCCAAATGGACATTAGATAAATCACAGTTAGTCTTTGGGCAGTATCTTGTTATGAGACCTGACCTATATAAATACTTTAAAGTTTTATTCTACATAAAATTTCTATAACCGCTTTGTATTTCACTAGGATTGTCAAGTTATAGAAATTTTGATGTAGATGGAAGTACTGTAAATATTATATAGGTCTATGCTAATTCTCGGAAAGGAATCAGTAGTGCCTATAGAAATTTGGATTTTTCTCCCAGCTGAAATTTAATGTAGCCATACAGATATGGTCATGTGCAGCCACCATGGTAAGTAAAGATATGTTCTGAATGAGTTAAGGAAATACTACAGATGGGCGCCTTGACCTCATATTGCAGTACAAAATGAGGAATCCATCTCCTTGCAATTTGGGTTTCAGTTGAGTGGTGGAGAGGAAAGAAAGGAAGAGGCAAGAGGTTACCTGTGTTTGTATACAAAGCGTGATAGGATTAAGGTCGTGGTAGAGTGGGATGTATTTTGGTGTTAATGAAAAAAATGGAGAGGATGATCAGTTTTATGACTCTATCAACAAAACTGACTCAAGAAATCACACTGAAAATAGTCTTTATTACTTAGTGACTTCCTCATGCAAACATGCACCCTTACATCTGGGTATTCTCAGTGTTTGGTGTGAACCTCTTGTTAGCTCTTTTAATCTGTCTTTGTCATTGATATCTTTCAATCTTTTCACCAATGTCAAGAGGATGTTTGAAATACACGGGTAATTCTTCTTGGTTGAGATACAAATGGAACAAAATGTAGAATGGGATAATTTTACAATGTGGAGACTCAGGCTAATATGACAAAAATAGAGCAATAATAAAGAGGATTGAGGAAAGTCCCACAGGAAAAAATAAAATGTATACACACACATACACATTTTAATCACAATTCTCCAAGACTTCCTACAAAATATTTAAATGTTAAATTGGAAATGTAGACTGCTTTCAGGCAATAGATATAGTAGACCTGACAAATTATTACTAATATTTCAACTTCAGGACAATTTTCTTAAGCTTATCAATTTCCCTATGTTAATAGAGGGCGTAGTTACCATTTCAGTGAAATGAAGAGTTGGATCTTGAATCTTTAGAAGCACATTTTCCTAGTGGTGTTTCTAGTCCTTCCCACAAAGGTCGCTGATGGACCAATGACCTCTCACTTTCTTCCGTTATCCAGATGTGCCTCAACATCATTTACTGGGCAAGAGACTTACATGACAATGGAAATTAGATATGCAGAAGCCATCCTCGCCTAACGCCACCCTAAACTCTATTCCATTCTCCTACCCTTCCCTATGATTATAACCCAGTATTTCCTCAAGAAATTCTGAAATGGGTATAATTAATATAACAGTGCAAACATATGTAACTCATTATTTGCTATCATGATAGCATGCACCTGTTTTCACACTGATGTTTAAGATGTGTTGACCAGTTTTCCTGGAAAAATCATACCCAGACCAGCATTATTCACAGTAAGTAGTCACTAAAATATTTCCAGTCTAACCTTAGTCAATAAAAACAGTCAACTAAACTTAAACAAAATTGGAACTTCTTAGCTAGTTAAGGAAATCAATTTAAATTATATTCAGCATTTACAACTAAGGCTCTTTCCCTGAAGAGGGATTATTCCTGAGTTTTGTTTCACTTTTAGGTTTTAAAATACATACAAGTATATGTACTTTAAATCCTATGTATGTGTGTGTATACAGTAGTTATATATGTTCTTTATATGTTCTATACGTTCTTTTGCCAGTGGTCAAAAGTTAGAGTCATGATTTTGATAATCACACTAACTTACTGTTAGCTTGTTCATGGAACACTTTATGACTTGCTTTATAGTTTCACACTTATATATTCATGATTCAAAGCAGTTTATACCCAAACTACTTCTAAAAAAGTTCCAGACAGTACTTTTAGATGAAATATCAGAGAATTTTGAACCTCATTCTTTTCATTCTGACAATTTAGAAAAAAAAAAAAGTTTTCTCTTTAAAATAATATGTATACTCAAAAATCATATGAAAAACAACCAAACCAAACAAACAGAAGCAAAGACCAAGTGCTTAGTCACAGTTTCAAATATTTTTTGTTAAAAAAAACAGCAAAAAATGGTTAATGTACACATTTACTAACATGGTAGGGAAAATGCTATTTGCAAAATCTGAAGATTTGAAACACTGTTATTGGTACCATCTCCATGCAGAGTTAGGGTATGCACATCAGCAAAGGCAGAAAGAGCATTGTTCTTTCATGGACCAACACCTAAAATCTTCTGGTTCTTAAACCTTGTTTCAATATCTAAATCCTAGATGAAAACTGATCTTTTAAGTTTCTCAAAATCTCACCTCCTATTTGGATTTTCAGGTTGAAAATAAGTAAAAATAGCTAAAGGATATTTCCTGAAATCCTTCTATCTCCTTAATACTGTGTTTTTAACTAGGAAAACGAGAGCGTTAATGCAAGTGCACGGATCTGATCTTTGACTATCTAGAAGTCGCACTGAGACTCATGCAAAGTAGACTTTCTCCTCGGCTATTTAAATAGTCAGGCTTTAAACAGAGCTTTAAGCGCCGAACCAAAAAAAATCGGTACATACTCCGACTTTCCTGGTCTTTAAAGGCCAGTGGGCAGCTATTAAACTAGGCAATGGTTCTCCCCGGATAGGGAGGTGAAGCCGCAGGAGGAACAACCCGAGGTAGACGTGTGGGAGCTGCTGAAGAATGCGAAACCCAGCGAGTATGAGAAAATCGCCTTTCAGTACGGCATCACTGACCTGCGTGGGATGCTCAAGCGGCTCAAGCGCATGCGCAGAGTGGAAAAGAAGAGTGCAGGTGAGGACGTCTGAGCGCTCCTAGCGGAGACGATAAGCCTCCCCGGTTCGTTCTGGGTTTACAGGGCGGACTAGCTGCAGTGGAATTTGTAGGGGCTCCGCTTCTCTTGGTTAACTTGGCTTCGGGTGAAATAGTTCACCGCCCCGCACATCTCCGGCAAAGTAGGTAGTGGACAGCTGCTGAAGTTTCAAGGTAACAAAAGTACATGACAGTGACACAATGCACGATGGAGTATTAAATATTCCTGTGTTCCTGGGAATTTCTCAGCAGCCCCTTTCTCCATCCGCTGCATCTCTCCGTCACTCTCAGATTCCTGGTTCTTATCTAGGTAGAGTTGATTCTGTGTTTGTTTTACTGTTACATTCTTCCACCCATTTGATGCGTCATGGGGAATTCATGTCTCACACCTGCTGAGGTAACCCAAGTGTTTAAGCATGTCAATATTTGCGCAGGTTTCCACAGTACAAAAACTGTGGTAAGCTTACTGTTTCAATCAGTCGAAGGCATTCCATTTAAGCTCATGAGTGGTTGGAAGTATCTCATAAATTCTATGATTAAAAAAAACTATCTGTAAGATAGATGTACACAGATAATGCCAATGAAACTGAAAATAATCATTTTAGGAGAATAAGCATGTCCTTCAAGTTCAAATTTCATTTGGATATTTTATATTATACATTGCCCAAAGAATGAAGACAATCATTTTTAAAGCCTCTTCAATAGTTCTTTACTTATGTTTCTTCCAAAAGCATATGGACTCTCTTAAAATTTTTAAACCATCTTATTATTTATAAATTGATGCAGAATTCTAAAATATGAGGGACAATTTGAAAGTTTCCTATTTTTGTCTTAATTTATTCAGGTTTAGGTTTTCAGATTGACTATTTAAATTCATATCATATGCATATACATATTAACATAGTTTTGTATCTTCTCTCTACTAGCTTTTGCAAGAATTCTTGATCCTGCATATCAGGTTGATAAAGGAGGCAGGGTAAGATTTGTCGTGGAATTGGCAGATCCAAAGTTGGAGGTGAAATGGTATAAAAATGGTCAAGAAATTCGACCCAGTACAAAGTAAGTCAAATTTGCAAATAATCAGTAGTAACTATATAAATCAAAGAGTAATTTGACTTGATTTTCTATGTCTGAAAGCACTTTTTAGTTATATTCATATGAAGCAAAATCATATGAGGGGACGGCAAAAACTTTTTATGTATTTTGGAAACGTTGAAGTTATGTTGCTATATAAATTAAACCTTGCCTTATGTTTTAATTCTATATAAACTATTTCAAGTACTTGTAATTATGATTTTGTGTCATTGTAGGTTATATGTGATTACTTCAGAGCATTGCCAAACTTCGCCCAATTTAAAAAAAAATTTGAGAAAAATTGAAATATGTATTCGATATACCAGTTTGTTATGGGAGTCACACTTTATAAGTAGATAACTTTTGTTCTTCCAGAATAGCATCTAAAGCCTATGTTTTATTGTTTTTTGACCCCTTTCCCAAATGAAGGAAACAAACTAATCCCTGATTTCTGATGGTATTGCTAGGCTATTAGGAAACTACAGAGATCTTTCTCAGTCTGAGAGACTTTCAACTCCAATATATTTTTTTAAGTTAACAGGAACCATGTGTATATTTATAAAAGGCTTTAATCCTGAAAATCTGTCACTTCTGTGGAACAATTAGGTAGTTTCCAATTTCTTAATGTGGTCCTGCTCTCAGAATGACTGTGATAATAATGTTTATATCTGGTAAAAGTCTCTTGAAGGCAGCCTGAATTTACCAAAAACATAATTTTACTTGGTTATTTTTATCTTGAAAAATGTTGCTTAGTGTTTTGTTCTTGAAGTCTTTGAGAATTTCCCAAGTAAGAACTCTTCCTTTCATCTGTTATAATGCGCTAATATACCCATCCATAATCTAGATCACAGATAATCAAATTTTGCAGTCTTCCGGATTTCAGGTTTTTGTTTCCACTTAAGTTCTTTTTCAGTAGATGATAACTATGATATATATGATAATACTAGTTCTTAAACTCATTTAAGATAATATCACATTGTATAGAATTACCATCTACATTAATGATTAAATTCATGTTATTGCTTAAATTGTATAATCATTTATTCACCCAATAAAATGTCACTGGGCTAGCAAGGAGTGAATTCAATAAATCAATGAAAAATATAAACTTTTTCTCCCTCTGTAGAGTAGATGAATTGATCACTTTAAAAAATGTAAAGAGTTAAAAATCTTAGCCTACTGTATTTTCCAACAATAGGTTAAAAATTGTTCATTGGTAAATATGTGAGTACTGATTTTATGTTTGGAATAAAAAATATGTGTGCTAAGTTGCTTTAGTCGTGTCTGACTTTTTGCAACCCTATAGACTATAGCCTGCCAGGTTCCTCTGTCCATGGGATTCTTCAGGCAAGAATACTGGAGTGGGTTGCCATTCTCCTCTCCAGGGGATTTTCCCAACCCGAGGATCGATCCTGCATCTCTTATGTCTTCTGCATCGGCAGGCGTGTCATTTAATACTAGTGCCACCTGAGAAGTCCAAAAATCATATATAAAAGAAAATAATGACAAATATTATATGCAAATATGCATATGTATTACATTATGTGTTATAAAGATAGAAATTGACTTCATGTTTAATGTTTATTAAACTATGTAAGATATGGCTAATAAATTGCAGATCAAAATGACTATTTCTGACTTTCAGATATTATGGAATTATAAGCCAAATTTGCTGGCAATAAAGAAAAGGATAAAATTGGACTCACAGATTCTGTTTATCTTCCTCCTATTTAAAACAGATACATCTTTGAACATAAAGGATGTGAAAGAATCATGTTTATCAATAACTGTGCGCTAACAGATGATTCGGAGTATTATGTGACAGCTGGTGATGAGAAATGTTCCACTGAGCTCTTTGTGAGAGGTAAAGTGAAATCTCTTCTTCTTCACTTCTTCTTCTTCTTCACTTCTTCTAAAGTGAAATCTACCCCTTCTCTCAGGGGTAATAATCAAAAATGAAAATGGTGAAGTGAGCTCTTGGGCTCCAGAGCAGAGATAGTAGTACCTCTCGAGGTGGTTTAGCTTGGGGTTGTTAGATTGGCTCTGGATTGAAGCATCTTTGTACTGGTGTTTATAGGGTATCCTAATTAATCTTCAGGTTTGTTGAAGACTAGAAAAGCTGACAGGAGAAAAAAACTGTTGAGTAAAAATGTCTTGTAGTTTTGGCTCATGTAAGCAGTATTTTGCAATTTAATTGCTCTAGTGATAGCTTTTGAAACCCAACAAAGCCTACTGGATAGCTGTTTCACATATTCAGCTCATCACAAATTGATTTCCTTTGAAACAGCTTCATTAGTAAAAGTCATCAATGCTTGGCACTGAGATTGCTGAAGACCATCATTTACTAGTGAAAAGAGCTGGAGGGTGTCAGTGAAGCCATGAAGCATTTATTTTATTTAAGAGGACCTGTGACTAAGACAGCTTTGTAATCTTGCACATCAACTGTACTTCAATTAAAAAAAAAATTTAAAGACAATTCTGTAACCTCTATCATCGGTCTAAAACCATAAGTAGAGAATTTTAGTGTTATAGATTTTCCTTCCTCAGGAATGCTATCTTCTGCTCTTATTTGCCCAAAGAAGATTATTTGATACAGTGTGTCTGCTCTCTAAAACAATCATTTATTTGATTTGAAGAGTTCTTGGGAAGCTATGTGGAACTTACCCAAGGCTACCAACTGTTTATTTTACCGTGAAAAGTCATTAAAAAATCCACCTTCTAACTACCACCATCTAACCATCACTCTGTGATCGACCACACTTTCTTACTGTTGGTTTTTCATCTGTGAACAAACCAGGGTCATGAGCAAATTTGGACGCATTTAATGATTCTGATTTTCTTTCTTTTTTTTTTTTCCACAATAGAGCCTCCAGTTATGGTGACCAAACAACTGGAAGATACAAAAGCTTATTGTGGGGAAAGAGTGGAATTAGAATGTGAAGTGTCTGAAGATGATGCCAATGTAAAATGGTAAATAGATATCCTGAGGTCTGTCCATTTTTAATAAACAAAAAAGGGCCTTCATACTTTGGAGAGTAGGAAATTGCTTTTACACATATGAAAAGGATCTCAACCTCATTTGTGTTAGTAGAAAATGTAACTAAAACTATCCTAAGATACTGGCTTTTTTCACCTGTGAGACTGAAAAAAAAAAAGATTCAGATAGCTATATTGATAAGGATATAGGGAAGTAGGCACTTTCTAGTAAATGAATATTTCAAGGTTCCCTATGTCTATTTGACTCCAAAGCCCATGGGTGCTCTTTCTGATGCATGCTCTCACTATGCCATGATGGCAAGTTTTATGGAAAATATACTCTTTATTATGTTACTGCTAGTCACTTTATTGTCACAGTATCTCAGAAAAATATTTTAGACTTAGAATCACCAAATTACTTGAACGTTTCTTAAAAATAAAAAACGTATTTTGGGGGTCAGATGGGATGTGTTTTCTCAAGTTCACTGGGAGTAACCTCAAAATTAAAGACTAGAAGATCTGGAATCTTAAAATCTTAATTGAGAGACAGTATATTCTGCAGCAGGAATCACTAGTAATTTGGTTTAGAACAGATCGTTCATTGTAACCTAGAATCATAGCTATCTTTAAAATGTATTAAAATGCTATTCTTAGTAGTGTGCACCAAGAGCCCAAACATAGGTAATATCCACTCTTAGCATCTTTATCTAATTGATCTTGAGTGAAAGAAATGGGATTTTGTTTTTTAAATGTAATTTTCAGATAATACATCTTACAGTAGTCATCTATTGATAGAGACTGATCCATACATTCTTTTATTCAACAAGCAGTTCTTGAGTGTCTGGTGACTACCTCTTGAAGCATTTTTTATAAAACTTTAAAAAAAAATCATCTATTTAACTCAGGTTTAAGAATGGTGAGGAAATCATCCCTGGTCCAAAATCAAGATACCACATTAGAGTTGAAGGCAAAAAACACATTTTGGTCATAGAAGGAGCAACAAAGGCTGATACTGCAGAATATTCTGTAATGACAACAGGAGGACAGTCATCTGCTAAACTTAGTGTGGACTGTAAGTAAGACTTCCTTGTATGTCTCCCAAGTTGTTTTACTAGTGTGTTATGTTTGTTAATTCAGTTTTAGAGAAGTTTCAATCTGTTTGACTTCGACCTATGACAGTTTTAGATGTGTAAAATTAGATTCCATTCTAGCTGAGTGTCTATATCATGTCAATCAGAGTCTCTAAGAACTTAGTACTCAGTTTAATAGAGTACCAGTATTGAGAAGGAACTCTCCACCATGACCCATCCGTCTTGGGTGGCCCTACATGGCTTGGCTGGAGAGTTCTGACAAAACATGGTCCACTGGAGAAGGGAATGGCAAACCACTTCAGTATTCTTGCCTTGAGAACCCCATGAACAGTATGAAAAGGCAAAAAAAAATAGGACACTGAAAGATGAACTCCCCAGGTCGGTAGGTGCTCAGTATGCTACTGGAGATCAGTGGAGAAATAACTCCAGAAAGAATGAAGGGATGGAGCCAAAGCAAAAACAACACCCAGTTGTGGATGTTGGAAGCTGTGGTGATGGAAGTAAAGTTCGATGCTGCAAAGAGCAATGTTTCATAGGAACCTGGAATGTTAGGTCCACAAATCAAGGCAAATTAGAAATACTCAAACAGGAGATGGCAAGAGTGAACATCAACATTTTAGGAATCAGTGAACTAAAATGGACTGGAATGGGTGAATTTAACTCAGATGACCATTGTATGTACTACTGTGGGCAAGAATTCCTTAGAAGAAATGGAGTAGCAAAAGAGTCTGAAATGCAGTTACTTGGATGCAATCTCAAAAATGACGGAATGATCTCTGTTCATTCCCAAGGCAAACCATTCAATATCACGGTAATCCAAGTCTATGCCCCGACCAGTAATGCTGAAGAAGCTGAAGTTGAACGGTTNATGAGTCCTGGGTGTTCATTGGAAGGACTGATGTTGAAGCTGAAACTCTAATACTTTGGCCACCTGATGCGAAGAACCGACTCATTGGAAAACACCCTGATGCTGGAAAAGATTGAAGGCAGGAGGAGAAGGGGACGACAGAGGATGAGATGGTTGGATGGAATCACCAACTCAATAGACATGAGTTTGAGTAAACTCTGGGAGTTGGTGATGGACAGGGAGGCCTGGCGTGCTGCAGTCCGTGGGGTCACAAAGAATCAGACGCGACTGAGCGACTGAACTGAACTGACTGAGAAGGAAGTATAAAAATCACCTGCCAGAGAAGTTACCCAAAGGGTTAAGAAATGTTTTAATTCCAAAACCATATAAATAGATGATAAATACTTAGATATGATATCAAATCCTGATATCCTATTTGCTTAATCCCTAGGTGAATCTGCTATCTATTCAATAAACATTCAACATTCTATAATTGTTGAATTATAGGGGTGAAAAGTTACTCAAACTAGTGGACCTCAATTGAGAAGATTTTAAGAGCTAATTCACTGATAGGCTTTAGAGGTGTGAGAGCATTCATGGCCTTCCTCAAATACCCCGTGATGGTAGTAAGTTCTTAATGGCAGAGCCTGTCCCTTCCAGTTAGCCATGAAAATTAGAATAGCAAACTTCTCAAGAAGATCAGTTATAGGTGGAGAGGGAAATCCTGTTCCTTATTTCTTAGTCCAGTTGCAATTCATATGACCATTGAATTATTTGGAAGTAATCACAGTACCCTCCTTATGTTTTGTGGGATAATGGCCATTGTAGTGTAATATCAAAAAAGTTTTTTCAACCATAGGCAGATCCTTATCTGATATTTATAGTCATTTAAGCAATTATAGTTAGTCCTGCTATAACATTAACATATGCATTTTTTAAAATTACTGTGCTGTACAGAGTCATGCAGTGAAAATCATAGGGGCAAGGGGGAATGTGGGTTAAAGACACAACACTCAGTAAATTTTCAGGGACCCAGTTTTTAAAAAGTAAAATGAGGGACTTCCCTGATGGTCCAGTGGTTAAGAGTTCCTACATCCAATGCAGGGGGCACAAGTTCATTCCCTGGTCTGGGAGCCAAAAACCTACATGCTGCATGGTGCAGCCAAAATAAAATAAAATGGTAAGAACCTAATAAAAAGATCAGTGGCACAGTTTTACACATGTCTAGTAAATATTTCCATAAATATGGCACTTTACCTTGAAAAAGATCTGAAATTTGCTTGTGAAAGTGGGGTTAAAATATTGCAGCTTGTGAGCTACTGGAGGCAGTGGAAGGAGGTTATCTGAAATTGGGAGAGTTGTAGTCTCAGGCGTGCATGGTTGTGGCTCATTTCACAGGGTGAACTAAAGTAACTGGTCGATATTTCAGTTGTATGTGTGTGTTCTGCACAATCCTGCCTGGCTCAGTTCAACTGGGTGCAGCTTTATGGATTCTTCTAGTCTTTCTCATGAATAAAATCATGGATAATCAAACATGAAATGTATGTTATGCTCTGATTGTCTTGGAATATTTCAGTTGCATTGGAGCAAATGCTCATTTTCAAAACAAGCATTATAGTGAAACTGTGAAACAACACCATCTTGGCCTGTCTGAAATTTGGATTTGGCTCTTGTAACTATCTATTATTTCTGCAGTAAAACCTCTGAAGATACTGACACCTCTGACTGATCAGACTGTAAACCTTGGAAAAGAAATCTGCTTGAAGTGTGAAGTATCTGAGAACATAACAGGAAAATGGACTAAAAACGGCCTACCTGTTCAGGAGACTGACCGTCTAAAGATTGTTCACAAAGGAAGGTAAACAAGTTAGGGCTATCCCCACACTGGCTTCTTCTACTTCCTAAGTTAGATGACTGGTGAGGATGTTTGGAGATTAGTCATAGGGAGGGTATCTAGTTCTGACCTTTTGCTCCCAAATAGCAAGAATAGGTGATTTCTCTGCTGTGCATCATGTCTTACTCGTGACCTGGTGCCTGCACCTTACAGTGAGGTGCTGTGTTATTTTGGAATCCATTGATTGAGTCTTTCCATATAAACATGAACTTAGCAGAATGGTACGGAATTCGAGTTGAGGAACTGGTCAAATTGGACTCACTGTCCCTAACTTATAAATGTCACATGATCTTTCCACATTTTTTTTTTTCCGCTAGTGGGGAGGTTGCTTAATATTCTAGAATCTAGCAAAGATGCAGGGCAAGTCCAAGAGTTCTTAAACTTGAATCCATGGATTCTTAGGAGGCCTATGATCTTCAGGAGTCTCCCCAAATCCTCTGAAATTGTAAGCAGATTCTCTGTGTACAAAAATACTTGTTTTTCTCCAGGTTGAGGTGCCATTGTGTCCATCAGATATTCACTGGTTCATGATGCCAATGAAGTTAAGAACTACTGTTCTTATGCCAATATTTTTTAAAAACTATCAATGGAGTAAAACCTTTAAAATTGTGAATCACTATATTTTATGTCTGAAACATAGAATACTGTATATCAACTATGCCTCAGTTTTTTTTTTTTTTAAGAACTATTGCTCTTAGGTTTGCATAAAAAACCAAAGTCAAGGTTATTCTTGGTAATTTCTTGAATCTTAGAGTGGCATCAATGAGATGTTATCTTCTATTCTTTTTTTAAGCTATGAAATTTTTAAAAGGCAGAGGAATTCTTGCATAGTAAACAGGCTGTATTTGTAGAGATGGTTTCATATAGCCCCAAATAAATACTGAATGTGGATCAAAAAATAGGCTAGTCAAGTATTCACATTATTATCACTCTCTCTGCAGGCTGCACTAAGCAAGTTAAGATAAAACCATGTGTCTCCTCAGTTTGGGTCTTATACAGTCTAAATCTCTGCACAGTCTTAGAAATATGTTTTTTTCATTTCCTTAGAATCCACAAATTAGTGATAGCCAATGCTCTGGTTGAGGACGAAGGTGATTATGTGTTCACACCGGATGCATATTCTGTTACTTTGCCTGCCAAAGTTCATGTTATTGGTGAGTAGATAAAAGGAATCATTTCAGAGTTGTGTTCTTGTTTTTCTGGGTTTGCTTACCTTGGAATTATATCCAAAATGTGACATTTAAAGAAAAATACATGAATTGGTGTTAATTGCTAGGCACAATGTTAATAGTTGATTCTTAAGCGATCTTAACAATGAAATAGTTTTGCAAGGTACTGGTACCGACTGCTTTGACTCCTGTTATATCCTTTTTGACCAAACAAAATATTGGTTATTACCAATGTTTAACACTAGACAAGACCTAACCCATATAATCACGTGGAAATAAATGTCTGATAACAAAGGCCATGTTTCATATTCTAGATCCGCCTAAGATCAACCTGGATGGTCTTGATGCTGACAATACAGTGACAGTAATCGCAGGAAACAAGCTTCGTCTAGAGATTCCCATCAGTGGGGAGCCACCTCCTAAAGCCATTTGGAGCCGGGCAGATAAGGTTTGTTCTACACACACACACACACACACACACATATACACACCCTACTCCCTTCCTTCCATAAGTCAGATGAAAGAAGGCAGCGAATAAATGTATGGCAAAGTTATAATTACTTTAGCAAATAAACATCACTGATTTTTAGGCAAATATAATAACTGTTCATTTGCTTTTCATATTTCTGACTACCTACTATGTGAACATATGCAAATGAGTGTTATTATGTGCCGTGAATGAGAGTCTATCTTTCCTTCTAATGGGTATCAGAGAATGGAGCGGAAGAGATATAGATAATGAATTATTAAATAAATAAAGTCCCTTTGGATAGTAATGAGTGCCATGAAGATTAAAAAAAGAAAAAAACAAGGTAATATGATTAGTAAGTGACTGCATGGAGCGTCTACAGCCTCTATGAATGACAACAGGGAACCATTATGTGAATTTAAGAGCAAAGAAATTTCCAGGTGATGTCAATGCAAGAGCAAAGAACAAGAGAAAATGCACTTGACCTTCTGGAGGAATAAAAAGAAAGCCAGTGTGGCCAGGACAGAGTGAGTAAGGAGAAATAATCAGTAAGATTGGAGTGGTCAAGTGGAGCCAGCTCAGGTGTGATTCTGTGGCTTCCTATATTAAATGTTTTAGGGGCAGTAAAACTATTCCACATAATACTATAATTATGGATACCTGTCATTATAACATTGACATTATGACATTATGATCCATATGACATTATGACCCACATAACCCATATGACATTGTAGGTTTTTCAAAACCCATAAAATGTACAACACCAAGAGTCTATGTAAACAATAGATTTTCATCATGAATTGGTGTTAATTGCTAGGCACAATGTTAATAGTTGATTCTTAAGCGATCTTAACAATGAAATAGTTTTGCAAGGTACTGGTACCGACTGCTTTGACTCCTGTTATATCCTTTTTGACCAAACAAAATATTGGTTATTACCAATGTTTAACACTAGACAAGACCTAACCCATATAATCACGTGGAAATAAATGTCTGATAACAAAGGCCATGTTTCATATTCTAGATCCGCCTAAGATCAACCTGGATGGTCTTGATGCTGACAATACAGTGACAGTAATCGCAGGAAACAAGCTTCGTCTAGAGATTCCCATCAGTGGGGAGCCACCTCCTAAAGCCATTTGGAGCCGGGCAGATAAGGTTTGTTCTACACACACACACACACACACACACACACACACACACACACATATACACACCCTACTCCCTTCCTTCCATAAGTCAGATGAAAGAAGGCAGCGAATAAATGTATGGCAAAGTTATAATTACTTTAGCAAATAAACATCACTGATTTTTAGGCAAATATAATAACTGTTCATTTGCTTTTCATATTTCTGACTACCTACTATGTGAACATATGCAAATGAGTGTTATTATGTGCTGTGAATGAGAGTCTATCTTTCCTTCTAATGGGTGTCAGAGAATGGAGCGGAAGAGATATAGATAATGAATTATTAAATAAATAAAGTCCCTTTGGATAGTAATGAGTGCCATGAAGATTAAAAAAAGAAAAAAACAAGGTAATATGATTAGTAAGTGACTGCATGGAGCGTCTACAGCCTCTATGAATGACAACAGGGAACCATTATGTGAATTTAAGAGCAAAGAAATTTCCAGGTGATGTCAATGCAAGAGCAAAGAACAAGAGAAAATGCACTTGACCTTCTGGAGGAATAAAAAGAAAGCCAGTGTGGCCAGGACAGAGTGAGTAAGGAGAAATAATCAGTAAGATTGGAGTGGTCAAGTGGAGCCAGCTCAGGTGTGATTCTGTGGCTTCCTATATTAAATGTTTTAGGGGCAGTAAAACTATTCCACATAATACTATAATTATGGATACCTGTCATTATAACATTGACATTATGACATTATGATCCATATGACATTATGACCCACATAACCCATATGACATTGTAGGTTTTTCAAAACCCATAAAATGTACAACACCAAGAGTCTATGTAAACAATAGATTTTCAGTTATAACCTTGTATCAGTGTAGGTTCATTCCTTGTAACAAATGTACCTACTCTGGTGGGGGTGTCAATAGTGGGAAAGTTTGTGTATGTGTGGAAACAGGGATTATATGAGAACTCTTTGTACTTTTCCATTCAGTTTTGCAGGGAACTCAAAGCTGCTCTACAAAAGCAATTTGTTTTTTAAGGAAGTTGGAGACTGTTTCCTCCTTTTCTGTTTTTTTGGGAGAAAAAAAAAGAGCTTTGTTACGCTATGGGACAACTTCAAGAAGTCAAATCTATGTGTAATTGGGGTCCCCAAAGAGTAGGACATAAAAATAAAGAATTAATGGCCCCAAATTTTTCAAATTGATAAAAACTATAAAATCTCAGATCCAAGATGTTCAATAAAATCCAAGCACAAGGAACATTAAGAAATTTACACCATCATAATCAAATTGCTCAAAACCTGTGGTTAAGAAAACAATCTTAAAAGGAGACAGAGAAAAAGGTCACATTAAATCTATAGGAACAAAGACTAGGATGACAGCTAATCTCTCTGGAAGCAAAGCAAGTGAGAAGACAGTGGATCAACATTTAAAGGGGGGAGAAACCTAGAATTCTATACTCAGTAGAAATAAGTTTCAGAAACAAAGGCAAAGTAAAGTTATTTTCAGATATACAAAAGCTGAAAGAAGTAATCTCCAGCAGACTTGCAGTATAAGGAATGCTTAAAGAAGTCTTTAAGTCAAATGAAGTGATAATGGGCTTCCCTGGTGGCCCAGTGGTATGTCTGCCCGCCATTGCAGGAGACATGGGTTCCATCCCTGATCTGGGAAGGTCCCACATGCCACAGTGCTACTAAGCGCATCCGCCACAACTACTGAAGCCCACGCCCTAGGACCCATGTTCCGCGACAGGAGAAGCCACTGCAATGAGAAGTCCACACATGCAACTGAAGGGTAGCCTCCATCGCCACAAACAGAAAAACCTCGAGCAGCAAGGAAGACTCAGTGGAGCTAAAAATAAATGAATATTACGTTAAAAAAGGAAGTGATACCAAGATGAAAGCATTTCTCAAAGGAACTAAGAGCGCCAGACCTACATGGATAAACATTTATGAATTTTTCTTATTATTTAAATCTTAAAAGATAATTGGTTGGCTTAAACAAAAATAATAATTATGCATTGTGGAGCTTTAAACATTAGTGTAAGTAAAGTTTATGACAATGAAAACATAAGACCAGAAGGGGAGAAACAGAAGTAAGGATCATAAGGGTGAAATGGATGTATGCTGTTGTAAGTTTCTTTTGCCAAACATATAATAATACCACATAAAGGTAGACTATACTATAAACCCCAAAGGAACCACTAAAATAATAAACAGTTATAGCTAATAGGCCAACACAGAACATACGATGGAATCATGGAAACATATTTAATGAATCTGAAAGAAGGCCAAAAAAAAAAAAAAAAGGCAGAAAGAACAAATGAGACAAATAAAAAACAGCTACCAAGATGATAGAATCACAAAGAAAAATGGTTAAGTTGGAGATTTTAATACTTTTTTTCTCCATAGCTGATAGAACAAGACAGGCAATTAGTGAAGATATACAAGGTTTAAGAAATACTATCCACCATCTTGATGTAGTTGACATTTATAGAACACTCCATTAAACAAAGCAGAATGGGCATTATTCTAAAATGCACAGGAAAATTTACCAAAATAGACCATAAATAAGTCTCAATAAATGTAAAAGGACTCAGGTCATGCAAGGTATATTCTTTGACCACAATGGAATTAATTAGAAAACAATAACAGAAAGATTTGTAAAATTTCTAAATATTTAGAAGTTAAGTAGCTTCTGTTTTTTTTTTTTTAAAGAAAAAAACATAACTCATGGATCAAAGAAGAAATTACAAGGAAAATCAGACAATATTTTTGTGGTCAGTTGCTTTTAACTGTTTACCAGGCTCCTCTGTCCATGGAGTTTTCCAGGCAAGAATACTGGAGCAGGTTGCCATTTCTTATTCCAGAAAATATTTATGAACATACTATATATCAGAATTTGTGAAATATGACTAAATCAGTACTGAACATCCCTATATCTATTAAAGAAATGGAATTTGTAGTTTAAAATGTTTCACAAAGAAAATTCCACATGTAGATGGCTTTATTGGATAGTTCCACCAAATGTTTAATAAAGAAGTAATATAAATTTAATGTAGACTTCTAGAAAAAAATTGAAGAAAAAAAGATAGGAATATTTCTCAACACATTCTTGAAGGCTAATATTATCCTTACAGAAAAACCAGAAAAAGACATTACAGAAAGAGAAAACTACAGATCAGTATCACTCCTGAACATAGAACAAAAAAAGTTCTAAACAGAATTTAGCAAATCAAATCCAAAAGTACATAAAAGGAACAATATGCTATATCCACAGGTGGCTTATCCCAGGAATGCAAAGGTGGGTTTAGCATTTAAAAATAAATATAATTCACCATATTAACAAACCAGAGAAAGAATGTGACCTCATCTTAATAGACAGAAAAACATTTGACAAAATAGAACACTCATTTCTAGTAAAAAAGAAAACCAGAACATGAAAGGAACTTCCTCAACATGATGAAAGACATCCTTGAAAATCCTACGACAGTCCTATCATCCTATGTAACGGTGAAAGATTGAATGCTTTTCCTCTAAGATCAGAAAGAAGAGAAAAATGTTCACTCTTACCACTTCTATTCAACATTGCACTGAAGGTTATAGCCAGGGAAATCAAACAATAAAAAAAAGTAAAAAACATACATTTTGGAAAGGAACAAGTAGAACTGTCTTTATTTACAGTTGACATAATCATTGATGTATTGGTTTGGCTAAAAATTTCATTCACGATTTTTCATTAATATCCAATATAAGCCACAAAAACAAAACAAAACAACAACAACAAAAAAAACAAACCCTGCTAGTACAAATAGTCAAGGTAGCCCTATTTGTAATATTCAAAAGCTGAGAAAAATGCAGATTCCATCAGTGAGTGAATGGATAAACAAAATTCATACAAGGGAATAATACTCAGCAATAAAAAGGAATGGATTTGTGATACAGTGCAATAACTTGGATGAGTCTCAAAATAATTATGCTCAGTGAAAGAAACTGTACCATTTTAAGAAACCGTTAAAAAAAAAAACCTGACAATACCAAATAATGGCAAGGATATGGAACAGTGAAAGTCTCATACGTTGCTGGTTGGAATGCAAAATGGTCCATCCAGTTTGGAAAAGAGCTTGATAGTTTTTTAGTATAAAGTTAAACATATACTTCCATACAACTACAAAGCTATCCCTAGGTATTTTCTCCAAAGAAATGAAACACATGTTGTCCACATAAAAACCTGTTCAGGAATGTTTATAGCAGATTTATTTATAATTGTCAAAACCTGGAAATGACTCAAAAGTTCAGTTGTATAAGGATATAGTTTGTACACACATAAACCAGCTGCACATGGAATATGCAATGGAAAACTGCACAGTAATTAAAAGAAATGTGCTCATAATACATGCAGCAAGATGGATCAATCTAAAAAATTTCACTTGAAGTGTTTGACTCCATTTATTTGACATTCTGGAAAAGAGGAAACTAAAGTGGCAAACAACAGACCAGTGATTGCAGAGACCAGGGTTTAGTGGGTTGAATGTCAAGGAGTGTGGGGACACTATGGGAAGTGATGGAAATAGTCTGTATCTTGATTATGGTATTGGTTACAGAATCACAGAAATTTGTCAAAATTCATGCACTATATATCTAAAAGCTATGAATTTTACTCTATGTGAATTATAGCACAATGAACAAAATAAAATATGGAAATATGAAATGGATAAGATAACACTGCCCTAAGTAAATCATTTTTCTTTTCACATTAAAGAAAAAGAGCAGAACATCTTTTACAATCTTAAAGTAAGGATTTGGCTAAAATGAGGATATTTTGTTTTATCATAAAATAAGAATCATGAAAGCCACTTCAAATATTCTTACTGTTGTCACAATCTTATGTTATTGAAGATTTGTAAGTCCTAATCCAGACCCTAAAAGTAGAGGTGACAATAGTTAGTGGCAAATTACCCAGGTTCTAAACTGCCTGGACCTTCTCTGTTTTTCCTCTTTGTATATTGGCTGCCCATTGTTGCATGGAAGATATGACCTGGGAATCAGAGAAATGTAATGTTGCTTTAAATTTCTGGTGTGAGAAAGAAGGAAGGGGAGAAATGAAGGAAAAAAAGAAGGGGAAAGGGGGAAGAAGGAGAAAAGAAAGAAAATATAATAGAAGTCTCAGCTTCCCTCTGTCTTTACTTTAGGAATTAGATGTTCTATCTTTCATGTCCCACTGGAAGGGAAAAATCAAATGGGGAAATTGCCACTGTGTCCTTCTTCAACCCCTTTCAGTATTTAAAATTTAAAGAAGTGAACAAATCATTATTTAGTTTCTGATATGAGCTTAAATATTTCTAGTTTAATGTGCAAAGAAACTCTTCTCCTAGAATGACAGTTTTGTGCTTATATTTTTGGTCCTCCAACTTCCTCTTTTTAAGGAGTTAACTGATAGTGAACTTGGGAGTCAAATCCCAGTTCATAATTTTCTTGGCATAATTATGGCAGCCTTGGGCCATAATTTTCTGATGTGTGAAATGGGATGACAATACATTTGTCCTTAGAGCTGGAGGATAAAACTAGGAACATGCATTTCAGGCATTAGCACCATTTCCAGCTTAAGTGCCCAGGCACTCCAAGTGTCCTTGTTGTTTGCACAGGTCATACCACATTGCGTTTCCTTTCTCCCTAGGCCATTATGGAGGGCAGCGGCCGGATAAGAGCTGAAAATTACCCTGACAGCACCACTCTTGTTATTGACATAGCAGAAAAAGATGATTCTGGTGTTTACCACATAAATCTGAAGAATGAAGCCGGGGAAGCACATGCAAGCATCAAGATTAAAGTTGTGGGTAAGTCCTCAAGTCAACAAACTTCTAGAATCAAGCTGATGTGCTTAGATCCTAGGTAGAGTCTCCGAGCTTTTGGTTGTCTCAGCTTTTCTGGGTAGCCGACAGAGAAACTCGCTCTATAGCTGTACTTCATAAACCATTGCCTTTCCTTCTCTGTCTCTGCCACTTCTTTATATGTCTTTCTTTTTCTTTTCTTTCTCCTCTTTTCTTCCTTTTCCTTCCCCCTTTTTCCCTTTCTCATCTCTTTTCTTGCCTAGAGGACTAGTTGCAAGAAGGAATAGCTAAAGTTAGACTTTGGAGTTGCTGACCCCAGTCACTGTGACCTCAGTCACAGTCCCTTCAGTGTCTTCCACAGTCGCGGACACACAATTGTTGAATAATTTCGGGCGTCACATTCATTGTAGAGTGCCGAGGCAGTGCAAACGCAGGTTGGCAAAGAATTTCCAGAAACAGCTTTTCAGAAGGGAGTGAGTTTATTAAGAACAAAGAGCAGAGACTATGAGGGCACTGCTAGTGCAGCGGGCTAACCTCCCGCCAGACCAGGGACAGTCAATGCTTTTTTGGGTTAGTAGCCAATTTGTATAGCCTCAAGACAAAGCAAATTCCTGCTGGACGGTTGGCATTAGGTGATTGGTTAGGGCGCCATAGCGTGCCTAACAGGGTGGGCACTTTAGCTTCATTTGGGATCAGGAAGTCTGCTGACAGTTAACGATCAGGGTGGCTTTTGGCAATAGTTACAAAGGGGCTCAGTCAGTTCCAGAGGTGACCTTCTGGGCTCCACTTCTGTGGCCTTGGTGCAAGGCCTAGCACCTGTGGCCTTGGGGGAGGACTCCACATAGAGGAATAAGACCTGCCTTGGTTCTTAGATGACTTTCTAAATACTTTTTTCCAGACCCCAAAACCAGGTGAAATGAGTCTAGCAGATTCCTGATAGACCAAGATCTCATGATTTCTTCATTCTATTTTAGTTTTCCCTCAAGAAACATATTTCAAATTGACCCAAAGCTAAGGTCACTTTATTACATATTGAACTATAGAAGACATGGTAACTTGACATTTTTAAAAAATTTATTTATTTGGCTGCGTCGGGTCTTTGCTGCGGCACGCCAGATCTTTGTTGTGTCTTGCACGGCCTTTCATTGTGGTTGGATGGACTCTAGTTACAGTCTTTCGTTGGGGTTGGATGGACTCTAGTTACGGTCTTTCGTTGGGGTTGGATGGACTCTCGTTGTGACATGTGGACTCAGTAGTTGCGGCACACAAGCTTGGTTTCTCCTAGGACTGTGGGATCTTGGTTCCCTGAGCAGGTGTCGAACCTGTATCTCCTGAATTGCTAAGTGGATTCTTAAGCCCTAGGCCACCTGGGAAGTCCCTAACTTGCCATTTTTGACTTGGATTTCTACCAGTCAACGTCTTGAATCTTCCAACTGATGTAAAATGTACAATACTTAGTCCTTGATTTAGTTCTGCTGGAAGTTCACTTTGTAGTTAAGAAACAAAATCCCAACCAATATTTAGGCAATAATTTAACTTCTTAGTCACCATTTTCAAGACAAACAACAAGAGTCTTGGATTTCATGTGGTCCTATAAAGTGACACTAGCTTAAAGGATTTGGAGACATCATTTGTATTTGTATTGGACTCACCTTCCCTGATTCCACAGGGAACAGGACCTTATGCCTAAACTAGCTAGGCAGTGCATATCAGTAAACATGGAAAAATCATCAGAAATAGCACTGTTTCTGTGATTATTACCCTAAAACATATTTTCCAATGAACATTTTTCTTTGTGCTTTTGGTCAATTTTATTTTATTTTATTCTATTTGTTTGTATGTTACAGATATCCCTGATCCTCCAGTGGCACCAAATGTGACAGATGTGGGAGACGATTGGTGCATCATGACCTGGGAGCCTCCTCTCTATGATGGAGGATCCCCAATCTTAGGTAACTGCGTGTTGGTTCATCTGTGGAATGGCCAATGGAGTTGATGTGCTCTTTATGCATATTAGCACAAAACACATTTTAAAATACTGAATTTATTTATCTATGTATTTATTTATTTCTAATAAAAAAATAAATAAATAAATTGAAAGATTAAAAAATAAAATAAAATACTGAATTTAGAAGAAAATCTTTAAATATCCATGCAAATTAAAATATATTTGGGGATGTCCTTGAAGTACTTGAGATTTAAATAGCTCTGATGAATATCATCTGACTTCCTCTTTTTTGACATTTCTATTCAATATCTAATTTTGAAATAACCATAAGTCTAACTTTGTTCTGGTCAGTAAATGCCCAGTTCCAGAGAATTATGTCTATGAAGCAGTTTCATTTAGGGTTAAATACTTAGAAGAATTTACTTCCCCCATGGAACAAGAACATTTTTCTACTTGCTAATAATGAAACTTACAAAACTGGTTATTTCCCCCTTCTTACTTACATTGCTGGGACTCAAAGTCACTGTACAAATTTCTATGGCCTACATATCTGTGGTCTACTTTTTCCTCTTCTCTTCCTAGCACCCCTTTAACTTTTTTCTAGTGTTTTTATTTTTGTCTATATCCCATGATGTTAATATTTGTATTCCTTATAATCTCTCTCAAACAACTGATGGAATAAGATGAGTTGAAAATGCGTGTATGACTTTTTTACTTAGAGTACTGAGAATTTTTGAGAATTCAAATATTTGACAACGTTTACTTTTGGAGGCCAAGGAAAAACCTGTTTCCATTTTGTGTCCCCTTCAGGGTATTTCATTGAGAGGAAAAAGAAACAAAGCTCCAGATGGATGAGGCTGAATTTCGATCTCTGCAAAGAAACAACCTTTGAGCCCAAGAAGATGATTGAAGGTGTGGCCTACGAGGTCCGCATCTTTGCCGTCAATGCTGTTGGCATCTCTAAGCCCAGTATGCCCTCCAAGCCTTTTGTTCCATTGGGTGAGTCAAGAGAGATGTGTCTTTGTCATGAAAATCATTGCCCCAGGTTGAGACTGCTGTCTTCTGACTTCTAACTGAACCAGACCTAGAAGCTTCTTGGACTGGTGCCAGAGCAAGAAACTAGAAATTGTTAGGGACAACTGTCTAAGAAATTACAAACAGTGTGATAGAGTTGAATGCCTTCATAATGCAGGCCTGGAATTTGTTACTGGAATTCCAAAGACAGCTGTGGGTGGCTCTGTTGCCCCTCCTCACTGGAAACATAGTTGAGCCTGTTGACACATGACTACCCTCCTTTGACCTTTTGAAAGTATAAGCCAGCACCTTAGTACAGACACTATAACTAAAACAAATTGAGATCTATTCAACCAAGCACACTTGAAAGCTAGTCTCTTTGCTTTACAATCACACTTTAAATGTTATCTAGGAACCAAAAAAGTCAATTCAGTAAAGGCAAAGAAAGAGATAAGATGTCTCTGCCATTTTATGGGAGACAAGTGTAATTTTCAATAGAAAGAAGAGCTTGCACTAGAAAATTAAAAAGTTATGGGAAATCTACACTAGATCATTAGATCTCAAACTTTGACTTTTTTCAAATGCCTTGGGCTTCCCAGAATCGCACACCAACCTCCCAAGTGGAGGGCAAGTGTGGCAGCATTTCTAAAATATTTTTCATGCCTGGCAGATCTTTGCCATATATACAGTGTAAACTCAAGAAGTCTTCACTGAGTTTTATGAAGATGTGGGGGCTTCTGTGTGCATTTTTATTTGTATCCTAGCTCATTTTACCACAGTTCCTGTGCCATAATTCTGTAGTTAATTGTTTCGGTTTTTTGTGCCTTTCTTATCTCTAAAGCTGTAACCAGCCCTCCTACTCTCCTGACCGTTGACTCGGTGACGGACACCACGGTCACAATGAAGTGGCGGCCCCCAGACCAGATTGGCGCAGCAGGTTTAGATGGCTATGTGCTAGAGTATTGCTTTGAAGGAAGTAAGTACAACTCATAATTCAAACGAATACCGTCGTCAATAGGTGAGATATGCCCCTCTTTCTTTTGTTTCTGTCTTGGGAATTCTTCTCCTGCCTACTGAAAATGACAAGCCAAAGGTCATCCTTCTGTGATGGATAAGAATTCAGCCCTTCCTTGGTATTAATCATTTGAAATCTCCAAAATATCCAGATGGGCTCCCAGATCTGACCACACGATAGATCTAGGACATAGGAGGAGGGATTCTAACCAAACTTCAGGGATCCCTTCTTCTGGAATTGGTGGAATTAAAATGTGCCAAAGCAAAATAAAAGTCTAGTTAAGATAAAGCAAATTGGAAATGCTAAACTCTATACTGAGCAGAGGTCAGTTATCCGCAGATCTACCTGTTTCCAGGTAAGGAGAGATTATATATTTGACTATTTGGTGATCAATTCCTGCCTTCTTCCAGGAAGAAAAAAGAATAATCAAGAACAACTTTCAGTGTTTTAAAGAATCAGTAAAGAATCTTACACCAGAGGATGTAAGAAATAGATTTGACAAATGGCAGTAATTTGTCTCAGGACATGAGTGTATAAAATTTTAATGGTTTAATGGCTTATATTTAGGAGGTAAAGAGAAACTGGCAAAAAAAAAAAACCCTCTTGCTGATAGCAATAATAAGAAATAGAAAATGACACAAGAAAATATGAGCCAGAGTATATCTAAAACCAAAAAAACTAAAGTACAGTTCACTAAAAGCCTCTTGTATTTTTTTATTTCCTACTTGTCATGATTTGGAGATGGGTGAATAAAACTGCCCTAGCTCTAAACTCAGGCTCCATTCTAGATGATGGTAGGTAAACAGTCCACCAGGGAAGGTTGTTCAAATCTTGACAAATGAGAGGCCAAGATAGCCTCTAAGAAAACTCTTTGGACCCACAACTTGAACATGACTCTTACATGAATGAAAGAGAGACTCCAGAGCACATTTGAGACAACAGGAGTGTGAACAGAAGGAAAGCGTCTGTGAAGAAGAAACTTCTTTGAAGAGCAGACTGCTGGAAAAGAAGCCCCAGGCCTCTGGCTGGGAGCACCTGTGGAAATCACCTGAGCTGGTCGGGAGAGTAGAAGAGAAAGGGGCAATAGAGAATCTTGGTAACACTCCATTCCATTCACATGCACTCACTCACAGAGCACTGTGCTTGATTTTTCCAGGGCTTAGAAATCCACTAACCAAAACAACAATGGGGGGAATTAGAAAACAGTTCCCAGAGTTATCCCAGTGTGGGAGGGGGCATTGTCACTCAGGCAACAAATAAAATCTTGAGCACTTCAGAGTATGGTTTATTCCCATTCCGTTCCCCTCCACCTGTTTGGAACACCCCCAAGCCCTCCTCTCTGCTGTTTATACTGCCCGGCTCGCAGACTTTCCCAGGCTTCTATGTGATGGGACTGCTGGATGTGAACCTTTTGTGTATGTATGAAACAGAGCAAATTCTTTACTCTTTTCTTTCTGATAGGTTTAAAAAGTAAGAAGATACAGCAAAATGATAGATGGCTGTCATTTTGATGTTACCCACCTTAGATAAAATACAACGAAGTGTATTTTACATAATTTTGTGTGTGGTCTGTGTAGATATATATGTATACCCCCATACATATATATATGTACACAGTCATTATTATGTATATATTTTGCCACATAACGTGTTGGAATTAGCTTTCTATGGAAGTTCTTTCATAACGTGTATATCTTTCTTCTTGCAGTCTTTTCTTACTTCCTTTCTGCGGCTGCCCTATTCTCCATTCTCTTTTAATGGCTTGTTGTCCTCCAGACTAATTTCTGTAGTGTTTGATGCTTTTAGATATGTCAGGTTTTATTCTGTAAGAGAACTCTTTCTTTTATAAGATCGTGTGTTGGTTTGGACTCTGTCTTTCTCTTGGTTTTTACTTTATTTTGTAATGCCTGCACCATTTTACTCTTCATTTTCTTCCTCCACCCTGGTTCTTCCTGAAAACTTTTCCTCATGTATCAAATAACTTGCACATTCCTTTCCCAACCCCGGACACCAATTTCTTTCTCTGTTTCCCTCAAGTCGTTCCAGCGTGAAAAGATGTTTTTGTTTCTCTCTGATCTTGCTTTGTCCTGTTTCCTCTTGAAATTTTCTTCTCTCCTAGTTCTTCACTCGTTCGTGCATGTTTTCTCAGTCTCCTGCTTCACATTCTCATCAGGTGTCTCTTCATTATGAAATATCAACATGGTAGCTCCCAAACCGACCATTGACTTCAAGGTGTTTCTCTTTTTCAAAGCCCTGAGTAATTTGTATCATTCACGTGCCCTCCTAGCCACCAGGATATTCTGGCTTGCTTCTCCTTCTCCCATACTCCTAGAATAGTTGAAATAAGAGAAATAAGAGATTCTTCTTAGAATCCCCATCCAGCTTCTCCCTTCCTAATAACCTAGATGGTCATCATTCCGAACCATTGGGGCAGCACCCATAACCACTCTGTGAGCCAGGAGCATCCTCCACCCATGTGGAATGTCCTGGAACCCAGGACAGCTTAATCTGTTTGCTAGACCAAGAACTTGTTGTCATGACAACCAGGGGCTGCCTCCTGGGCTGCTGGGGCAGTTTTTATTTTCTTGGAGAACACTTCCAGTTCCTGGTAAGACAAGGCTGCCCTTATCTCAAGTGCCCTCACTCCCAGACTGATGTGGGAGCCCCACAGAGGGAGAACTGTGTTCCCCGAGAACCCACCGGACCCTCCCCGGCTGAGGTGGCAGGGACCAGAGCAAGGGGAGACTGTTCCCCTGCGGACGGCGCCCCTATGGAGCCCAGGCCCTGTTCTGCTTTTGTCTTCAGGGTCTCGCTTTGTTCTTCTCTACTTCTTGCTCCCAGAGCTGGAGGTGTCCCAGCCTCCTCTCTCCTCCTCTTCTCTGTGGCAGGTGCCTCAGGATAAAAAACCACAGTCTGGACAGAGCAGGCTGTGCCTCTCCTGAGGGCTCCCCCTCTCCTCTAACGTGTCTGGTCTCTTCCGTCACTGTTCTGAAGACAAATATCTTTGCATACTTTGCACACTTTACTAACAGAGAATGCTGACTACTGATACGATATTCTTCTGGTGTGAAAGTGGGTGTCTTTAATTAATTTTAATGACGGATTCTCAAAGGTACATCAGCAAAACAGTCTGATGAAAATGGGGAGGCTGCATTTGATCTACCAGGTAAAGTATTCTCTGAAAGCTCTCCAAGTTTCTTACTGTATGATAAAGTTTTGGGGAATGTTCCAAAGACCAAGCATGAAGTACACCCACACACAAAAAGCCCTTAGAGTTGGAGGGGGAGGCTGGGCCGTGAGTTAATAATGTGGGAACCGAGCCTTCTTCTTTCTTGTTTTCCACCCCTGGGCATAATAATGCATATAAACTTTTAGAACTTGAAATGTTTGTAAAACCTGGATGCTGGCTTTAAATTTTCTGGATATTATAGACAAAGCTACCAAAAGCATTTTAAAAAAATCAGAACTTTTGACTGAAGTGAAAGATTATGCCAGTTCTTTATGAGGTCTTGGCTCTTGAGCTGTTTCCTCTTTACTGTGAATATAAGCTTCTTTTCTTCATAACTGGGGGCATAATCCAACTTCCCATGGGATTCCCTGGTGACAGATGGTAAAGAATCCACCTGCGATGCAGGACACCTGGGTTTGATCTCTGGGTTGGGAGGATCACCTGGAGAAGAGAATGGCTAACCCACTCCAGTGTTCTTGCCTGGAGAATTCTGTGGACAGAGGAGCCTGGTAGGCTACAGTCCATGGGGGTGGCAAAGAGTCAGACACAACTGAGCGACTTTCACTTCACTTCACTTTACTTCCGACTTCCCGTGGCCATACTATTGTCTTATAAAATGGAGAGATCATATGACTATAAAGGTCAGGGTCTCTCATTCATAAGAATAGCATTTTCCTTTTCCCCTGAACTTTAATGTATATTGATAGATAACTATCATGGTTATATCAATTGTGAAAAATGTATACTGTAAAACCAAATTGGAATAAGCTACTGAAAAATTCCTGGAACAGTCAGTGTCGCTCAGGATACCCATGTATCGTGCATAAGAGACATTTTAGTAATAGCAGAATCTAATTATCATTCCCAGTTTTTACCTTAGCCATTCTAGGCCATTTTTCATTTAAATGTGATAAAAGCCCAGCCATATAGTCTTGAGTTCAGACCAAAGTCATATTCCCTCAAAATAATCTAATTTAGAATAAAATACTAATTTGGAGTCAATTGTTTAACAAGATGATTTCTTTCACTAACTGTTATTTTTCTTTTCTTTTTTCCTTAATGGATTTTAGCTGACGACTGGATAGTTGCAAATACGGAACTGATCGACAAGACCAAGTTCACCATCACAGGTCTGCCGACCGATTCAAGGATCTTTGTGCGAGTGAAGGCTGTGAATGCCGCCGGCGCCAGCGAGCCCAAGTACTATTCTCAGCCCATCCTCGTGAAGGAAATCATAGGTAGGTGGCAAGGCTTTCAAAATTTTGTCTCCATGTTTTTTTAACCACTTTCTTTCTGAAACCCTCCTCTTTTGTTGTCACTCCTTTGATATCTTATTAATATCTCCAGGGAGTTAGAAATGGACAAAATAGCCCTTTACAGGCAGTGTGGGAGGTCAGCTCCCGGTTTTAACCTAGTATTAGGACCGGATAAGTACACCAGATTGCATGAGCCAAATCTGATGGGGCTGCCTTTTTGTAATGGAGACAGACAGGGAAGAAACAGTTCAAACAATCCGTACGGCAGCAACAACGGCTCCAATGAGTCTGTGAGGTCAAATCATTTTCATAGTAATATGAATGTGTTGTTTTCCCTTTTCAATGTTTGGCCTTTGCACTGATGGTGCAAATGCAATGGTGTGTAAAACTGCTGGTGCCTTAGCACAGATCGTATTCATGCCACCAAATTGTCCAGTCAGTCTTTTCTTCCTTACCACTGTGCACTCTCAATTAAAATAAATGGGCCTTAGAGTGTTCTTGATGTGGCATAAAAATCATTAATAATCATTTAATATGATTATTTAAATGTTTAATAATAAAAAATAATCATTTAATCATTTTTTAACCTTGGTTCTTGAGTACACTTTTTCCCTATATGTGTGACAGTGAAATGCACAGTATATGTCAAGATTTTATGCTATGTACCCTAGTACAATTGTTGTCTGTAGGGAAAAGTATTTCTGCAACTGAGTTAAGAGCCTAAACTAGTGCCCTATTCCAGGAAACTCCATTCTTCCTTGAAAGAATGACAGAGTGACAAACTCTGGCTTGTCAAACTTGGGTATTTGGCAGATGTTTTCTAGAAAATGAATGGAGTGAACCTGTAACTTCAAGGAAAACAATTTACAGTATTTGTTGTCAATTTGCCCAAGAAAAAATTTAATCTTCGAAGCAAAAATTAGAATTTTGGAAAACCAGTATCCACCATTATTGACTTGACAGCTTTCTAATACTTAAAATCTTTTCTGATAAAGTAGGTGGTGATATTAGCAAATGCAATTTTTTGATACTGACTAATGAATGCAGTGTTTCAAAATTTGAATGATCCACATAGTTCAGTGAAGCTATATTTTCCAAAAGACTAATGCAAGTTTAAAAATCATGCCTGGGTAAGATACATTCAAAATGAAAGGTAGGTCAATGGACTTTAATGTAACAGAATATGAAAAGTTCATAGAAGGTTTTAGATTCCACACTGTAGCTAACCCTTAAGAAATTACAATTCATGTTTTAGTACAGAATCAGAAAGGAATATCTACAATTGTCTGAAAAATTTTATTAAAATATTCTGTGTGAAGCCAGATTTTCTTCAAGTACTTCAAGCAAAACAACATTTTACAATAGATTAAAAGTCAGACAATAGAGAGATTTGCCAAAACAGAAAATAATGCCGTTCATATCACAAGTTTTTGTTAATGTAAATATGGTTGTTTTCATTAAAATGATATTTATGTTGTTAGTTTTCAAGTAAGTATATAAATATTTCAAAATTTATTGGTTTTAATTTCTAATATAGTTAATATGATAGATACAACCTACATAAACAAAAACTTTGCGGGACCTTCCTTTGATTGTTTTTAAGAGTATAATGGGATACAGAGACCAAAAAGTTTGAGCATCACTGCTCTAGGGCAAAGAATATTGAAAAGTGGCTTGAGCATCTAGATCTGGACCATGTTGAGCCACAGACTTATGGTGTGACTGCCTGAAACCTTTTGGGAGGTTAGGGGATGGATGGATGGAAAGAAGTGTGAAGAATGCACATTTTCTTAGTTGATTCTGGAGACAGACTATGAAAGCTGAGTTCTGTTTCTTTCATTTATTGACTATGTGGTTTCAGGCAAGGGACTTGCTTTTCCTGAGCCTTAATTTCTTCATCTGCAAAATGGAAACAATAATAGGACTTACTACCTCAAGAACTTGTGAGAGCTGAATGAATCAATCCCTGATATTGGCTTAACGAAATGCTTGCCACACAATAAGCTCTTGGTGTATGCTAGCTTTTATTATGGTGATGGTTGAGTGTGCTGTGGAACCTCGCTGAGTCTCTGTTTCCTTAACTCTGTGAAGTTAGGGAGTTAGAGGATCCCTCAAGTTCTCTTCCAACTGGAACATTCAGTATCACCACTACTACCATCATCATCATCTCCTGAGTTTACTGAGCACTTACTATTCTCAGCCAGTATGCTAAATGCAAGTTGACCTTATTTAATCCTTACAACAGTCCTGTGAATTAGATCTTGTGGAGCAGGCTGAGACCAGATCTACTGTCTGATCTAGAACTCAAACCCAGATCTCTCTGACCCCACAGTCCATGTGTCTAAGCAGAGCATAGGTACTCAAGGCTAACTCCAGGTTCTAACCCTGGCTGTGTCACCTTGGGCAAATGACTTAAACCCCTGTTGGCTTTAGTTTCTTTATCATAAAGTAAAAAGAATACGTTTGCCATAAAGGTAGCTGTGAGGGTTAAGTTGGTCCCTTCATGAAAAGCATTTACTGTTCCATACTGAGCCCACTTCATCCCTGTGAGCCATGAGCCTCGACTTTCTTCTGCCTTTGATAGGTTTATATCCACATGTCCTAATATCTTTGTGGCGTTTAATGAATATCAACATTCAGTGGGTTAGGGCTGCAGGTTACATACTTCACCATAGCCATAGAGGGAGAAAGCTACCATCAAGTTCTAACATAATTACATAAGCAACATGTGCTAGGTACTAAAGCTTTTTTAAAATTTTTAAAATTATTTTAAAAATTTTATTGGAGTATAGTTGCTTTACAATGTTGTGTTAGTTTTGGCTGGACAAAGCCATTTTATAATTATCAAGTTCTGGTAAGAAAAAATGGTCAGTCCTACCAGCTAATGTGGTGACAGTAGATCTTTTGTCAAATGTTCGTTGGAGAATATACTCACTGTTAGAAACTGAAAAATATACGTAGGGCCCTAAGAGAAACTTTAGTGTTTGCTTTCAGTTAGTTCAGTTCAGTTGCTCAGTCATGTCCGACTCTTTGCAACCCCATGGACTGCAGCACGCCAGGCCTCCCTGTCCATCACCAACTCCCGGAGTTTACTCAAACTCATGTCCATCAAGTTGGTGATGCCATCCAGCCATCTCATCTTCTGTTGTCCCCTTCTCCTCCTGCTTTCAATCTTTCCCAGTATCAGGATCTTTTCAAATGAGTCAGCTCTTTACATCAGGTGGCCAAAGTACTGGAGTTTCAGCTTCAGCATCAGTCCTTCCAATGAACACCCAGGACTGATCTCCTTTAGGATGGACTGGTTGGATCTCCTTGCAATTTAAGGGACTCTCAAGAGTCTTCTCCAACACCACAGTTCAAAAGCATCAATTCTTCGGTGCTCAGCTTTCTTTATAGTCCAGCTCTCACATAATAAAATAGGAAGTTGCAGAAAATCAAAGAGGTCAAGAGTAAATTTTGTTGAGTCAAACTGTTAAAACATCTCTTCTTGAAGGTAATATTTGGAACCAAAGTTACCATATATAATCTATTAGTGGCCCATCTAAGATTTTACTGCAGAGACATAAGCACAGGGAAATCCTGATGAGTATGTGCCAGGTACGCTTATGTAAGGGTGCTTCCAGTGTATGGTACTAACTACAAAATTATGCTCTTCTACTCTATCTCAGAGCCTCCAAAGATTCGCATCCCAAGGCACCTGAAGCAAACCTATATCCGCAGAGTTGGAGAAGCCATCAATCTGGTTATTCCTTTCCAGGTAATAATTCAGGGTTGTTCACTTTCTCTTTACAGTGCTGGGGTGTTTAAGGAGTGAAAGGAGATACTTCAGCATTTATGTTATTCACGATTCAAGATTTCCTTGGAGGAAAAGTAGGAAATGATGGACCAGATTGGGAGAATGACTAAACAATCTCCTGCTTTAGAAGTATGGAAATCTATAAAACTGCCATAGATTTTCCAAATGAGACCTCATCTTGTACCGAAGCTCAATGACTATAGTGGGCCAGAGAGCAAATACCGAGGAGACACCAAAACAAGAAATGCTTAAAGATCTTTCTGGTTCTATCCATATGAAAAAACAATCTTCCTTTTAAGTGAAGTTCTTGCTGTAACACGCAGGAAAACACCATATGCTTCCTTCCCACAGTTACCCCAAACCTCACTCAAATTACCCAGGTTCCAATGACGGATAACTGAAGTTTGAAATTTTGATGTCACTAACTGAAGTATATGAATATTGTTAAATCATTGCTCCTGAAGAAGAATCTGTTGTTTATAAGTTTAACCAGGTTTTGCATACAGTAATCATTTTTGCACTCTCTCTGTCTCTCTCTCACACACACACTGCACCATTATCTCCTTACTCATTTGATTCCTTTTATGCCTTAGACAATGCTGTTCAATAGAACTTTCTGTGACGATAGACATATTCTGTAAATGCAATGTCCAGTATGGTAGCCAGTAGCCAGATGAGGCTATTAACTTAAAAAGAGCAGCTAGGAACTAGGGTGATGAGGGAATTTTTAATTTTCTTTAATTTTCTTTAGTTTTAGGTTAAATGGTCACATTTAGCTTGTGGCTCTTATATCAGACAGCCTTAGAACTAAAATTTAGGTCTCTGCACACAGTTGAACACACACATACACCCACAGCTGTTTCAAACTCAGGCTCCCATGAAAATTAACCTAAAGGGGCAGCCAGTTCAGGCCATTCTCACCGCACTTGGGGCCCAGCCATAGAAGAAGTTATCTTCTAAATACACAGAACGTGAAGTCAGAACGGAAGTCAAGGAGGAAGTGAGCGTAAACATGGCGGAGGAGGAAGGAGACGGCTTGGCAAGACTCCTCCCACTTCTCTCCTCCCACAGCCTTAAGTAAAACTAAGAGTTGGCACAAGGCAGGCACCCAAGACCCTGCTCTGCACCGGGGCTGAATTAACCCTCAGTCTCCACACCATGTTGACAACTGGGCCTAATCCCAGTTCTGGATCTTGTAGGGGGAGGCAGTGTATTCAGCTTCTGTCACTGGATCTTGCAGAGGAAAGAGCGTGAGAACAGGACCTCGTATGTATGGCATGCCTAGGGGCTGGTCATTTACCAGGAGAGGGATGGTGAGACTAGTATGCATGTTTGTATATTTAAGTAGCCTCTGGAGTTCTGAAACCTCATGTGAGCCCCATGTGAGAGGCAGGAATGGCAGATTTCCTTACCTACCTTGAGAAAGGAAGAAACTGATATCCAGAGAAGTTAAGTGATTTGCCCAAAGTCACCCAGCAAGAAAATAGTAGTGCCATGAATAGTGTCTATGTCTCCAGACACTAAATTCAGTGCTTTTTTCACTTCATGCTTTATCAGAGAACTCAATTTCCCCCCCTAGTAGTTAATAATAAATTGCAGTTTAAGGAAATGAGACCTGGAACTATTTTCCCATCTTTAACAATATTGTTAAACTTCCTACTAGTACATCTGGGCACCCTGTCCATTTTTTCAAGGCCTGTGGGCAGGGGTTTGATATGTGTCTCTCACATTCCTTAACAGAACCTATCAACAAGCCACATTAGGATCCCTTGGGAAGGCTGTGCCTTACCAGACACTTGGTTCTTGTCTGTGGGGGTGAGCCTGGAGGCTCAGGAATCCTACGAAGTTCCTTTGTAATGTAAACTGGAGCTCACATCCTCGAATGACATTATAATTACTCAAAGTCTGCTCTTAAAGAATAGTTTCAGCTGCTATCAGAGAGAAAATGACAGACAAATCCAAAATAAGCAACACAGTACAGTGGAGTAATAATCATTAACATGGAGATGATCAACGAAACACTTACGCAGTGCGCAGAAGCTTAAAACTTCAGTCTTGGTAACCACAATGTGAGATAGGTACTACTCTCATTCCACTTTACAGATTAGGAAACTGAAGCAGAGAGTTTAAGTAACTTGCCCAAAGTCACACAGCTATCAAATAGTGGAGTCAGGATCCAAATACAGATTCCAGGGCCTCGGGGCCTATGTTCTGAACCATTAGGCTGGGATGTACTGGATTTGGAGCTGAAGAGACCTGACTGGAAGACCAGATTCCAGCACTTAACTGCAAGGCCTTGTACAAGTCATTTAATACCTTTATCCAAAAATAAATAAATGAAGATAACGATACTTACTGTGAAATTAAGATTAAAGGAAGTTATAAATATCATGTACCCAACAGTGCCTTGCATACCCAATGCAATGGATGGGCAATAGTGAATCTTACGTTACTGCTGTAACTGCCCACCATCAGACAGTTTTCCAATCTTGCCAAGGATGGGGTAAGCCACTGACCATGTTTTTAATGCTGAAAAAATCTGGAGACAATCTGATCCCCTTCCACCTCTACTTTTTGTCTTCTTTTTAAAGGGAAAACCAAGACCAGAATTAATTTGGACAAAGGATGGTGCACCTATCGATAAGAATCAGATCAACATTCGCAACTCTGAGACTGATACAATCATATTTATCAGAAAAGCAGAGAGGAGCCATTCTGGGAAATATGATCTGCAGGTCAAAGTGGAAAAATTTGTGGAAACTGCGTCCATCGATATCCGGGTTATTGGTAGGTTTGGAGGAAGAAACTAGAATATTCTATGCGGTATGGAGACAGATTGTCCTTGTCAATAGGGAAAGAGTCAGGATTTCTGTTAGTTTGGCTCGGCAAAAAATTCCTCTTTTTAGAATTAAGAAAAAAGATAAATTAGTGAAATTGGTTAGCTTGTTAGAGTAACTTTTCACTGATTAAAAGGACTAATCATGAGAAACTTGGCGCATATATATTAAATAAAATTAATGTTTGTACTTCCTTTGTGGAAATCCTCTGTACTGTTTGCAGTCTAGGTCTCTCTTACTCCGTTTCCCAACTCTTTGATGATAAAACTATTTCTTGTGTTGAATTCTTGCATTAAGAAAAGATTGCAGATTTTGGAGATAGTTTAACATGCTTCTTACTTCATTCAAAATTGGCTAATAGTAAAGTTAATGTAGATGCAGTTTCGATCCCTGGGTCGTGAAGATCCCCTGGAGGAGGACATGGCAACCCACTCCAATATTCTTTCCTGGAGAATCTCATGTACAGAGGAGCCTGACTGGCCGTAGTCCATAGGGTCACAAGGAGTCAGCCACGACTGAAGTGATTTAGCACAAAGTTAATGGAGAATGAAGGATTTTTATTAAATGTAAGAAAGGTGTACCTAAACAGAGTTAAACAATTAAAGACTGAACTGTGGTTGGTCATGTAGGGCTAGTTAGATATTTACCTGTCCAGATAAGGTTAGTTCTTACTTCTTTCCACTGTCAGGGTGATAGAGAGAGGATTTCTTATAAGTAGACTCTTCTTGCTTGAACGGTTCTATAATTTTTGCAGTGTCAAGAAATAAATCTAAGAGCAGAGTTAGGAGAATCCTTGTCTCCAATCATTTTTATTAGTACAGTTTAGCAAATATGCTAGAACAACAGGTTCTCTAACCAAAGGAGCAACTTCCTATGGCAAGCCTTCCCTTAGGTGAAAGGTCATGTCCTTTAAACTAAAGATTCTTTTCCCACTGACTAAATTGTCTTGATTTTTGTTAAGTAGAAGAGAGAATGGAGGACGTTGTGTGTGCCCTTGGGTCTGGCCTGGCTCCATTTTAATGGAAGCTCTTGTCGTTGGAGCTGGAAGAGGCTTACCCTCTGAAACATGGGGAGCGACTTTTTTATTTTTCCTACTTTGACATGTGGTTACTTTACCAGATAGTTAAAAGTGCTTGGCACGTCACTCACACCTTCAGAGGGTACAATAAATAGTAACAATGATTATCCTACTTACTTTTTTTAGCCCCAAATTTATGTTTCTGCCATGGCCGTAAAAATATAGCAATGCCATTTACGCTTGGGGAGCAAGCGTTTGAAAAGTCAGCGCCAATTTTGAAGATGAAGCAGATGAGTGCAGGTGGGAGGTTGAACTTAGAGAAGCCGGCTGTCTGTGGACAAGTGGGTGAAAACAGGTCAGAGACTGTGCTTGTAGAGGCTTGCCATTGGTATTGTGGAAAGAGAGCAGGGATTATCACTGTGGTTTCCTTCCTGGAGCCCATGAAGACTGCTTATTAAATGTTAATTAAAAGAGAAAAACATGACCAGAAAACACTCTGATATTTACTCTTTTCAGTCTGACATTTCATAGAGAAATAACCATAGGGAATATGGGAAGGATGTTCAGTTCACTGGTGGCTCAATGTTAAGAATCCCCCCTGCAATACAGGGAGATACAGTTTCGACCCCTGGGTTAGGAAGATCCTCTGGAGAAGGCAATGGTAAATACTTGCTCCAGTATGCTGGCCTGGGATGTTCCATGGACAGAGGCTACAGTCCATTGAGTTACAAAAGAGTTGGACATGACTTAGCAACTAAAAACAAACAGAAATAACTGTGATTGCATTTTAATACCTGAAGAATATTTCAGGACAGAAAGGATCATGCTTGTACTGCAGAGGATAACAGATGTGAAATTCCCCTGAAAAAAATTAAGAAATTATATCTTTAAAAAGACATGATATTATTGTCTTTCCTTGCACCTCTGTGCAAGGTTTTTTTTGTTGTTGTTTTTTAAATGGGGCCTCAAAGAAAAAAGAAAGCTTAGTTTTCTTAACTTTGGGCCTTTCTGAGCATTACTGCCATTTACTGAAAGGTTAGAGGTTACAGAAATTCATGATGCAGTGAAGAAAGACTTTACTTCCTCATGAATGCATTTTACTTCCATAAAATGGAAACACTTGATAAATACCAATGACTCTTGCAGGGAGAGATGGCAGAGGAAGCATGTTTTCCTCACTCCCATTAAAGATGCCTTTTTAGTACAGCAGGAAACCCCTCTCACAGGCTGTGGGGTTTGGGCCTCTCACAAAAAGCTGGAGTCCCACAGCCCAGGTAGACTCTAAGATTTCAAGTCCAGTGTCAGCTTACCATTCATTAGGCAGAGTAGCCTGTGATTCATTGCCAGTCATCGGCCCCTGGAGGATGTTTAATGAGGTTTGAAGTTTCATTTAAGTTTTCTTTACAAAACCTTTTTCTTTCCATGAAGATGGAAGTCAAGCATTTGCAGATTAGCTAAACTGGAGTGCATTGCACTTCTCTGGAGAAGAATGCAGAAGAATTGTGGGTGGAAATATGGGTAGGAAGTTCAGTTCAGTTGCTCAGTCGTGTCCGACTCTTTGTGACCCCATGGACTGCAGCACGCCAGGCTTCCCTGTCCATCACCAGCTCCTGGAGCTTGCTCAAACTCACGTCCATCAAATCAGTGATGCCATCCAGCCATCTCATCCTCTGTCATCCTCTTCTCCTCCTGCCTTCTATGTTTCCCAGCATCATTTTCCAATGAGTAAGTTCTTTATATCAGGTGGCCAGTATATCAGGTGGCCAGAGTATTGGAATTTCAGCATCAGTCCTTTCAGTGAAGATTCAGGACTGATTTCCTTTCGGGTTGACTGGTTTGATCTCCTTGCTATCCAAGGGACTCTCAAGACTCTTCTC